GGTTTGCGGCCCTGTACAACTTCAAGGGCGGGGAGTTGTTTCCGCACTTGCTTCTGGGGGCTCCCGGGGATTCTTGCCAGCGCCAGTGCGCACAAACACACACACTGCACACACACACATGCGCAGTTCTGCAAATAAGGACATCGAACATTGGTGGTCCAGAAATGCGGACCTTGCAGAAGCACATCCCGAGATTTCAAAGGTGGGTCAGCATCAATCTGCATGCCTACGCCATAGTGATTTGTTAGGACTACAGCCAGTGCCATCGCTTTGTGCCGGTTCGAATCTATGGCGACGGCGCTGATGCACAGAGCAACTTGCCAGCATCGATGCGTGACAGTCTCATCAAAATGCGCGTGGCAAATTTAAGGATGTCAAAACTTTGAGCTCATGACATTGCTGCCTGCAGTGTCTGGATTGAGTTCAACGCTGGACACACGATTGATGCTCCGCTGCCAGGATTTAGACTTGTTTCTTTCCTCGCACAACAATGTTGAAAATCTACCCTCCCTCCCACTAGCATGTTTCCTACTCAAGGGACCCGAGTCTTGCCTAAGGCTCTCGGTGAGATCCACTTATCACACCAACGAGCTATGTCGAGAGATGGTTCTGGAAACTATTGCTTGGTCACTGCAAGCTCTCAGTGCCTGAGCTACACTTGGCAAGCATGGCTGCGTGCACTGCGAAACTCAAATAAAACACATTGCAATTGAGGCAAAGGACGGTTTCCCGATAGAGACCCGTGGGGCCGATTTTTCAGCCCGACCTATTTCCCTCGAAGGCACGCGCAAGCTGGTAAGCTTATCGCCAATGGGTGGCGAGCTGCATTTGATGGTGTTCAAGCCGATGCAGAGTTTGTGCTAAAAATCTTCAAGCTGAAACGACATTTGGCTTACACCTATTGGCCTCGTGTGTTTGTGACATTTGTTTGGCTTGTTGGGCTTGTTGGGCACTCAGCCTCTATGTAAGGATCGTACCTTCATCGTCAAGCTTGCCACTTATGCGGAGCAACCTAGCACCAAACATTTGGATGTTTTAAGGGTTTTGCGGGTTATCCCCATGTATGCAACTCCCATCAGGGGCGGTGTCACTGGTGGTGTCCTCAATCGGGTCCCTTTCTAAACCATTAAACAAACAGGCCCCGCTTTTCTGCAAAGCCAAGGCTGTCGTGAACCCCTTGCCGGCCGAGCCACAGACCCTCGTGTACACGGCGTGGGGCCACGAGGCAGCTCATCGGCGCACGCTGCTTGGCTTTGAAGTTTGCGTGCTTTGCCCATTGCAGTGGTCTGGGGGGTACCTCCTAAATTCTTTTCAGGGGTCCTTCTTTTTAGACAACCTTCAAAAACCCGGGCTGGGGAAATGGATGGCAACAACCATGTGCCATTAAACATATATGGAGGGGGATTGAAGGAGACATAGTTGGCCGCATGGCCGCTTGCTTGCGTTCCAATTCTATAGGGGGTGATTCCCAATCCTTTTCAGCAGATTTCTTTTATTTTCTTTTCAACAACTTGCCGTCGATAGGCTCTTGTCCACCGATGAGTTCGTTCAAGTGCATGGCCAGAGCCCCTTGACCCAAGTGGATGGCTTCTCGTGCTGGCGCGGCTCGGTGGCAATTGGAAATACCCCATGCTCAGATTTGGTTTGGGCAAGGGTTCGTGAAGTGTTTTTTTACATCAACTTAAATTGCATCTCACGATGCTTTTGACCCACGAGTTGAAACAAATATCCACCGGACAAATGTTGCTCCAAGGGATGTTTACATCAACTTAAATTGCATCTCATGATGCTGTATTTGACCCACGAGTTGAAACAAATATCCACCGGACAAATGTTGCTCCAAGGGATTTGGCCGGATCTACTTCATATCATGGATTTGCAAGTCCTAACGGACATATATGCCTCTGCTTTGCTGACGTGGACTGACGACCAGCGTGTGTGGCGTGGTACCTCGCGGGATGCCCGTTTAGAGCTAGCATATGGTGACTATGCGGCGTGGTGTGTGGCGAGTGGTCTCGCAACGATATATTTAGCATCTTTTATCATTTGCATGTGCGTTTTCGTGTCAACAGTTGTAATTACAATTAAGTGTAAATCCTCCGACTTTTCTGTACGTGCAACTCAGGAGTGCCCTCCTCATGCCGAGCAAGAAGGTCTATGTTTGTCACGAAAAAGCTGCGGCCGTCGGACCATGACTACCCGGACATCGGGCAAAAACACTTGTCGGGTGCTGCTAGCCGAATGATGATCAACTGGTTTGCAGAATGCTCCGAAAACACCCCGGACACTGACATCAACAGGTGTCTCGCTGGCAATATTTGTTTGTATCGATCAGCTCGATCCACAACACGGGTCCTCAATGCGCAGAAACATGTGTTTAAATGTTCCTTGCAAACATCGATGTTTGCACCGAGGCTGCTTCGAGATGTGCTCTGGAGCCTGCAAGAGTTCTTTGTGGTCTTGGCCTCCCACGGCCAATTTCTTGAGAGCGATGCGAGCCCGCACCCCATGGAGGTGCTGCAGCAGTGTTACTACACGTATCGCTCCAAGTACAATAGCCTGGCCCTTGCTGCGATCGACCTTGGGCAAATCAGATGGCCAGTGAGGCCAAAAAACCACCAACTAGAGCACATGGTGCTGGATTTTGCGCCTTTGCGCAACCCGCGCTATGTACAATGCATGCTGGATGAGGACATGATGCGCTTCACAAAGCGCATCGTTGTTCGAACCCATCCGCATGTGTTTGGCACGCGTACGCTAATGCTGTACTTGGTGGCCGTGTCACTGCGATGGGTGAAGGGTGTGATGTGAAATGAAAAAAGCCCTCGCTGCTTCGATGGGCGCATGGGGGGGGGGCTGCGGGGTACTTTTATAAATGTACGTTCTCATTTTATACCTTTGCGGCCAGTGCAAAGTGCTTAAATGAACTATAGTGACGTTGTCTCTATAGGTCGTCCCATAAGGGTCGTTAACCTGTGTTGGACAGACGCACACACACACACACAAATACATACACACACACACACACGCACACGCACACGCACACGCACACGCACACGCACACGCACACGCACACGCACACGCACACGCACACGCACACGCACACGCACACGCACACGCACACGCACGCGCACGCGCACGCGCACGCGCACACGCACACGCACACGCACACGCACACGCACACGCACACGCACGCACGCACACGCACACGCACACGCACGCCGCGCACCCGCACGCGCACGCGCACGCGCACGCACACGCGCACGCGCACGCGCACGCATGCGCGCGCACGCCGCACGCGCACGCGCGCACGCGCAACGCCCACGCCGCACGCGCACGCGCACGCGCACGCGCACGCGCACGCGCACGCGCACGCACGCACGCGCACGCGCACGCGCACGCGCACGCGCACGCGCACGCGCACGCACGCGCACGCGCACGCGCACGCGCACGCGCACGCGCACGCGCACGCGCACACGCACACGCACGCACGCACGCACGCACGCACCCACCCACACACATACACACACCGACGCACGCACCGACGCACGCACGGACGCGCGCACGCACGCACACGCACACGCACACGCACACGCACACGCACACGCACACACACAGACGCGCACACAGACGCACACACAGACGCACACACACACACACAGACGCACACACACACACACAAATGCATACACACACACACACACACGCTTGTTAGCACAAGCGCGCCCGCACACATTGGGGGAAGACAAACATAGACCTGGGATCGGTGCTTTTGGGCTTCCACTAAAAGGTATCTGATGGGTTCCATAGCAGCGTCGGCTGGGTCGTTTTCAAAGGGTGGCTCCCCTTACCCAGGTCAGCGGCAAAATCAGTACTCAGTGTTTCCCTGCGAATCGTCATGCCATTCTAGCAGTTTCCCTTATATGAATTGGAATCAACGGGTTTGTCATCCCAACCCCCCTTCCTTGCCATGTTCCCCTGTCCTCCAAAGCCCTTCCGTGAGTTTCCTTTTTGTAGTGGTTTTAAGCATCACCTTTCGGGGCAGTCTTGGTGGTGTTTATCTTTGGCGTGATGTTAGGGACACACTGTAAATCGCAAGCCATGCTTTCCCATCGGGTGGTGCAGGATTTTGTCTACCCACGGTATCAGCAACCTCACAAAAGGGGGATTGGAATATGGCTTGGAAGACAAACCCATTCCTCTACAACTACGAATCGTTTTTTGGGGGTGGAAGAAGTGACTAGAGTCCCAGGGCATCCGAAGTCCGTCTGCACAAACTCATCTCGAACCAAAGACAGCGACCAACCATAGACTCACAGACAGAAATGAGAACCAGAGTTTACAAATTCAAACAATAGACTGGCCAAACTGTCCCGTAAAACATGGGATGACCATGAGCTGGAAAACAACTAAAACCATTCTGATATTTCAACCGCTAAATGGGAAAAGCTATCCGTGGTCAAAAGTGGGGGCTAAATGGAGTATTGATCAACCCCCAAACACTTGCTGGCTTGGGCAATCCTCTCAGAATCACTCAAGAAGTGAGTAAATGAACCCAGATCCAACCTTGAACCTATCTGAGGCGGTTCAATGACTGATTCACCGCAAACCCACAAAAACACGTAGTCTATGGCGAGCGCACCTGCAAATAAAGCGCTGACCATGGTAACGATTTTTTTGGGGGGGATCCAATTGTTATCTCAGGTTTTGGACATTTTGTAGATTTTCTGTTTCATGAGAAATTTGCTGTTGCACATGCAGCTAGCGGGCACAGCCCTCAGACAGCAGCAGAACAAGACAAAAGGGTAATTTTGGCAGATAAATGAAGCCAAACCCAGAAGGCAACCAGAAACTCATTTCCTGAGTTCCTGGACTTTAAGAGACACGTTTAGTGGTAAACAAGAAGCCTGGGTACTTTTTGGGCCATCCACTCGAAAATGAGCAAATGAATCCCAACCCCAGAAGCCAACCAGAAATGAATCCCAACCCCAACCACCGAGTCCTGGGGCGCGTCCCTCTTCACCAGCACCGTAGACACCACGCAGCGGAAGGACGGGGATCTGTTCGCGTAAAGTCGAGTCATAAAACCAGCGAGCGCCTTTGCTCACTGTGTCCGTTTTTGTTTTTTCAAGCGCCGTTGCTTCTTTTTGTTTTGCTTGTTTGGTTGGTTTGTTTGTTTGTGTGTTCGTTTGGTGGGTTTTTTTCCAATGCTTCATGCTCAGCCGTTGTTTTTTGTTGGCTGTTTTGTTCGTTGTTCCGTGGCTGTTCATGACAACATGGGTTTCAGCAGGGTTCGGCTTCTGTTCAGCCGCCTTTTGTGTGGTTGTTTTGTTTGTTGTTGCCGTGTTTTAGGCCATTTTGTTCCAGACAGGGGTGTTCGGCGTTTTGTGCAAAAACGGTATCCGAGTGACCAAAACCCAATTTCTGCCTGGTTTGTTCTCGGTTTTGTCTTATGGCTTCGCAGGTTCCCCCAAACAAATATTGTTCATGACGAAGTCTGGCGAGACCGCTTGTGGCTCTTGCGTTGCAACAGCGAGTCGACCGGATCTGAGCCTATCTGGTTTACCCTCGTTAAATTCCCACTGAATCAGTGGCCCAAGGAGATCACCCGAAGTATGTTTGGGTCCCAACTGGGTAACTGAGGTGTCGGGACTTATTAGCATGGGTCACCCACAAAAGCGCGTCCGGTTCTGAAAGGGAGTTTCATCTAAAAAGTTGTTGGGCTTTGAGGTTGCATGTTAATCTGTAGGGGAGTTTGTTGAGTGGGCCAAGCCTCCATCAGTTGAAACCTGCAAAACATATAAAACCCCCGTTTTAGATCGCCAGGCCCTCCTATGAATCTTCACTTTAATACAACCCATTGCGAGCAAGCTTCAGTGAAATTACCATTGGGAGCTTGGATGGCACACCTTCTTAGAGGTCAGTGTCAATTTGGATCTGCAAAAACCAACAAGCTCGTGTATGACGAAGATCCGTTCGACGTTGCAATGTGCTACTTGAAGGCGGAGGACCTGAACCAAAGTGCCACTGGACGGCTGAGTCTTTAGCATGGTTGAGGATGTAGCCATCATCTAGCTTGCTTCCACACTTTTTGAAGGGTCAAACGACTCCAGCAAAAAAAGGCGGCAGTTTTCCCTTTCTGGATCGACTGAACATGCAGCTTAAAGAAGACTCCCTCCGGCCACACCAAAGGGAAAATTGCCTTTGCTTGGCTAATACCGTGGATTTCTATTGGTAGGTTTGCCTGTGGCCTCCGGACAGTTTGGGGCCTATCTTCTGAGGATTGGCCGGAATCAGTTTCTTCTGCTTGCGACACCCACCCTGGAGTGCCAGGCGAGTTCACATCAGTCTCTAGCCACGGAACCCACCTGAGAATCCCTTGTGCCAGTTCAGTGACGCCCTTTCCAACTTTTTGTTTGCCGGCTTTCCCCACCAAGCGACCCGACCCCCCAAATTGGGATTCCCTTTCTTCTTACATGGAGACTATGAAGTAGGAGAGTGCTTTTTGAGGGCGAGGGTCCAAACGATGCCCCCTCCAGTTTTCGCAAAAAACCAGGAAACTCATGAAATGTCCTTATGACCGTGGCTCGCAACCAAGGGAACCACTATAAAAACGCTAGCCAGAAGGGCAGCGAGTTGCTGATGGGAAAGGCGCTGGGAGTTGCTCGGGAGGTTCGCTCAGACTCCTCAAGGAGTGGAAGCAAATGGCTGTGTCTTCGTTTTTTTGTTGTTGGTTGGGTTGGTTGAAGAGGAGGCCAAAGGGAAACTAACTACGTGGTGGGGTCCCCTTTAAAAAAAACACTCAAATGACCGAACACCCTTGAAAAAGGCAAAGGGAAACTCACTTTCTGTTTTTTCTTCTCCTTTTTTTGGGGGGGAGTGGCTTACCCGCAAGAAGGACATATATTTGTGCTTGGCCAAGCCTACACAGGTTCGGCCACTTGCATGGCGCTCTGGCCATGGGCGCAGATGGCTTGAGCCGCCATGGTTTCAAAGATCCTCCAAGCGTTGGGTTTCCCTCACGAAAAAGAACACTGCATACACACACCTGTTCGTGCATGCAAGGCGCATGCATCACGGACTGCCCCAACCCAAGAAGTCCCTTTCCTAGGTTTCCTTCCATCACTTGGTTTTCTCCCAGTGACTTGAGCAAATGGAAGCAAGCCGACTTTTCCGAGCTTTTGGTTTTCCCATGTTCTAGGTCCTTTACACCACGGAACCCACACTCCTCCTGACATTCCCCTTGGTTTCGCTGAATCCCTGAGTTGGACTTTATACTTGGGAAGATCATTTGGCTGTGGGTCAAAACCAATGGTACCATTTTGGGGTAGGTGCACCACCAAATTTAGTCTATTTTAGCGGGGATTGGGATGTTCACTGGGGGTACGGGATTTTGACTCATGGCCATTTCAGTGGTAAATATAAAACAAAAAAACTCAGACTTCTTCCACGTCCAATCAATTCAGAGAGGCCGCCGATTTCTGTGATGCTGAAAAATGGGGTAGGGCGTTTGTAGCGCCTGCTTCGGTGCTTCTGTGGTCAGGAGTGCTTTTTGGGGATGGTTTGGGTGTGGGGTGTTTTGGGTGTCTGATTTATCTTCCCGGTGTTTTTGGTGTCTGGTCGGCCGCGACTGCAGGAGGACAAGCCCATGCCCAAGGTGGCTGCCAAGTCTCTCATGCGCGACTGGGAGGTGCAGTGCTACGGGACCGCCCCTTGGCCCCGAAGATCCGAGGCAAGTGGCTTGAGAGACCCGAATCTTCGTTTGGGTCTGGTTGCTTTTTGGGAGTTGGTGCCCTGTTGTTCTGGTTTTGAGGAAAGGTCTGCCTGGAGTCTCCCTCTCACCCTTAACAAATGGTTGGTCATTACCCAAAATAATAGGGCTCATGGACCCAATTCTTAATGGGTCATGGAGACTCCAGGTGGTTCCTTTTTGGGAGTTGGTGTCCCTGTTGTTGTGGTTTTAAAGGGAAGTCCAAAGACTTGTTCATTTTTTTGGGGGGTGGGGGAGGGGGGGGTTTGTGGTTTTAAAGTGAAACCAACAGGAATACCCCACTAGTTTAAAAAAAGAAATGGGGGGAGGGGCATGCCCCCCCCAAAAAAATAAATAAATAAAATGGTTGGGGGTTCTTGTTGCTTGCTGGCTTGTCGGCTTTCTTCCCAACCCCAAGGCAGCCCTCGAATGTTTGACATACTGTGGACGGACGACATGTTGCACCACACCACCGTTTGATTTGTTTAGGGAATGATATGTTTCCCCTGTAAATACCAACAATGGGTTCAACCATGTTGATTTTGTCCATCCACTGTAGGTGGTGTTGCTCTGGGTGTGTCCTTTCTCACTGGGAAACCCAATGGTTAAACAATTTGTTTTTTTCCCGAATCCACTGGATTTAATCAACCACCACCAAAAAAGGACCCTCTCTGTGAAGCTCTCTTCCTGATTTCATGGATTTTATACTTTTTGAGAGTACCATTCTTGTGGTAAATAACAGTTTGTTGTTGTTGTTTTCTGGCCAATCCACTCGTTCGGAAGTGAGACAATAGGTGTGTCTGCTGTTAACGGCTGGCTGTTCAAAGCAAGCAGGTCACAAGCTGTACATTTTGCAGGTCTGGTCACACGGGTTTCAAGGCCACAAGCAACCAGGCCGACCTTTTGAGCTTTTGGTTTCCCCTGAGTTGGTCAATATTGAGTCAAGAGAAAGCAGGGGCGGCGTGTGTGAAGTCCCCCAATGGAGAGCCTTTGCCGGGCATGGGGATTTGTGTCCAGCAGCCACCTGCCTCCCTGGAATGTCAATCCCTTGCCTTTTTAACAACTCCCTCCGACACCAGGTCCCAGGTAGAAGCCCCTAAAATGTATATTGAGAGAGAAGGTCCAAGTACCTCATTGCGGGTTTGACAAATGGGTGTGGCTCAAAATTAAACAGGAGGGGCAAACCGCAGGTTTTGGTCCAAATTTCCACTTACCGATCGGGTTCCATGTTGGAATCCCGGATTTTTGAGCCACAGCCAAATCTGCCAGTGAGAAATCCCCTTGAACCAAACCCCTTGGACCTCAAATCTGGTTGGTACTTGGACCCCCTCCGGGCTTCAGCTTCGCACTCCCCTCGGTGAAGACATTTTCGTCACTTTGGGCGCGCGGTTCGGTGGCCTTCGACGCGCGGAGTTTCTGGAACGAGAGGGAAGCCGCATGGGCATTTTTTCATGGGGGGCGGAGACGAAAACCCAAAAATGAACCAACAAAAGGAAGGGCGCCCCTTTTTTTGTCAATGTCTGTCCTCCAAAATGGTGTTAAATCAATAGCTCGTCTTTTTTGAGGCTCGGGGTTGTCAAGGAGAGCCAAGGGGAAACCACCCTTTTTTCTTTGGAGGGGTTCCACGATTTTGAGACAACTCCATATCTTAGATACCCAAGCGCTCCAATTCGATCGATTTGGGGCCCTCAAACAGCCAAGCTTTGAGACCCCAAAACCCCTTCTGGGGTGTCCAATGGAGGGGTGTCTTCCATTGGAAGCCGAAGCCAGGAGCCTCTGGGTAGTGACAACTTCCCCAGAATTAGTTCCCCCGTTTTTTTCCGCTTTTTTGGGGTCCCCTTTGTTTTCCACTAACCGAGCAAAATATGTATGTTTTGCTGGGGTCCTTCTTCCAGCCAAGATGAAACAGAATCTCACTTGCCCCAAACCTCTCGGCGCGCAAATCCCAGGCGGACGACAACGAGAACGTCGAGAAGCCCACGTGGCGCGGTTTCCGGTTTGGATCGGTAAGACTTCCCCCCACCCCCACAAAACGGTGCGTGCAGAGGTTTGTTTTTTAGTGGGTTCACTTTACTTGATTCTAGGGGTACCTTCCATTTCCATTCTTTCCAGGCATCCTTCTTGATAAAAAAAGCCACCCAAAAAAATCCGGGGGGAAACAGCTAACTTTTGAAATTAACGATGGTTGGAAAGGAATGGGGCACCCGCTAGATGGATGGCTCCCAGCGTCCTCCTTAGCTTTCTGGTTGTTTTTAGTTGGCTTAGTGGGGGGGGGGGTCCATTCAACCCACAAGTTGAACCTGTAGCAGGGGATCAGTTTGGACGGCCCAACTTAAACTCAACTACCAAAGAGCAGTGCCACGTTATTATTATTATTATTATTATTATTATTATTATTATTATTATTATTATTATTATTATTTTTTTATTTTTTTTATTATTATTATTATTTTTTTTTACCATGGCCACTTGTTGAGTGCGACGATTGCGGACTCTGCGGGCTAGTCCTTGTTGCCATTTCCCTGAGCAACCCGTTTCGGGGTCACCCTATGTTTGACCCACACCCCCAGACCTTGAGTTTCAATGCTCTTGGGACAAATATGACCCACGTCGGGAAGCTTTAACTGAACATGGCCTGGAGAAAGCTCTCCGGAGAAAAAGCATTGGTTGGGCTCCCGAGGTTTGTTTTCCAGCTCCGGAAGACGCCGGCGAAACGACTTCCGATCAGGGATGCCCCAAATGAAGATGGAACCAAGCAAAAACCATAGAGGAACCGTGAGCCGTGAGGACCCTCATGTTCGAGGGACACCCTTTTTGGGCAACCCATGTTGATTCGGATGGGAGTAAATGCACCCCCGGCTTCCTCTCAACAAAAAGTACGGTGGTGGTTTAACTTTGATTAGAAGCCCTGCTTCTTGAGGAGAAATAAGACCAACCGGAACACCACTCACTCGTCCCCCAGTAGTGCCCTTTACCCCTTTTCGTGGGAGGGTACCCCTACTAACATAGACTACAGAAAAAAGACGGTACCCTTATTCCAGCCTCTCTACTGGAGGACTTTGACCGGCAAACCAGCAATTCGGCTCCAGCTTCAAGCTCGGCCCCTTGATGGAATTTAAAGGAAAGGGTCAAGCTGTATTGGTTCTCCATGCCCAGTGTACATGGTGGCTCTGCTGCGGAAATATGCGCGTCTGTGTGTTTTTTGAGGTTGGGGGTAGCTTTCAAGGGAAACCAACAGGAGATTACCTTTTTTGGGGTCTCCAGAGTCTGCATGACCCTTAAAACAGGAGGGTATTACCCAAAAGAAAGGAGTCATGGCCCCATTGTTCAAGGGCCATGACAGGCCCACCTATTTTGACACATGAGTTCTGGTCGAGCCCGAGTCGACCCCCTTTTTGGCCCCATAAAAAGCGAATCGCGAGCGGGGATTTCCAAATCTGAAGAAATAGGAGCTATCGAGCCGCCAGGAGTTCTGTCATCACACCTAGAATTCCAAGTTGCGACCCCGCTTTTTTCAGCCACTGTCGCGATCGGTTTTTGGGGCTCGGCGTGCGTGGCAAAAAACAATAAGAAGCAACACAAACCGATCGCACCTGGCGATACCCGGGCATGGTTGCTAACCCCGGGGGTTTCGCAGGCAGGGCTTGGCTGCAGTCGGGGGGACCCGACGATTCGGGGATACCCGACTCGCTTCGCGCAGGGATCCCTTCCTCTCGCTGGAGGAGAGCGAAGCCTTTGAGAAGAGGATGAGTACTATGCGCCAGATGAGGCCTGGGAATGGATTTGAAGTGAAGCGAGCTTTCGGGTTCTGCGGTTGTGCGGTTCTTGCCTTGTTTGTGTTTCGTTCAGTTGTTGATTTGTTTTGACGTGATTTGAGTTGAATCGAATGGATTCGAGTTGTCTTGGTTTTAGTTGCTCACGTGTTGCTTGCAATCTTGGTTGCTAAGAGACTTAGTCATTCACGTGTTTAGTTACATGAGGCTTTGTGTTCGTAGTTGTGTCAGCTTGTTTGTTTGTTTGTTTGCTTGTTTGCTTGTTTGTGTGTTTGTTTGTTTGTTTGTTTTTGCGGTTGATCAACATCAGTTGAACTGCGGCCTGAAACAACGCGTTGGTTGCAAGCCCCTCCCTTGGAAGAAAACATACAACGTGGCAAGTGGACTCTGTGAGTCAATCTCCCGACTCAAACCACTCTTGCCTCAATCTTATTGCCTTGCGGCCGTATCAGTGCCATTTTGGGAGGACACGGCACATTAGGCTCGGAAATTTGGCTGAGAGCTCCAATGTGTGTCAATAGGGAACCACTTACCCTTTTTTGGGGGAGGGTTCCCCTACTAAAATAGACTACAGAAAAAAGTTGGTACCCTTATTCTATCCTCTCTACTGGAGGACCTAGACCAAAAGAGTCGTTGGACACGAATCCTTACCAAATTTTGTCCAGCAAAGGGTCGTTTTGGACCCATTCAAACTCAGACCCATTTGAGGTCAAGGGATTTCTTGTCCAGCGCATTGTAGCAGACCGAGCGGGTTTCTAGTTCAGGGCTATCGGGGAACCCTTGATGGTCGCTTTTGGGCTTTGGCCTTTTCGTGGTAAACAAACAGTTTTCCATTCTTTTCAATCATCGTTATTTTCAAAAGCCAGATCCGTTTTGCCTGGGTTTCTGGAGGTTTCTAGAAAGAAGGATCCCTGGAAAGAATGGGGAAGGTACAACTAGAAGTTTGGTTTTACTTTTCTGGCAAAATGTCTGGAGGTGAGGTCTCCCTGTGAGAGTTGGTTGGTAGGTTGTTTGGTGGGAGACACGTAAGCCCTGCTTTGCTTACAGCGGCAAACACCGCGCATCGGCTGCTTGATCTAGCGATGCTTAATTGGTCATGCTGTTGCGAACAAACTTGTCAGCTGAGGATCTGAACCGATCACAGTTGCCAGTCATGTTTGAGCCAGAACGACCCTGGTCAGCCACCCAGGAACACATCCCTTTTCTCCGTGCAACACAGAGACTCCGTTTTGGAAGGTCTGAGAGGCTCCAATCAGTATAGTCCATTTGGGGACATGGAAACCAACCCTAAGCTCCTTAGAAGGAACCTTCACTGTTCTTTGCATTTTTTTCATTTTTTTTTTCGGTTCTGTTCATTTTTACTGGGGGTCTGCAAAAAACAGTCAGTTTGTTGCAAGCCCATACCAAGAGTAGAGATAGAACCCAACCCCTTTTTCAACGGTTTTCACTGGACGAAAACAACCGTGCCTTCTGCCCGTGCGTGTGTGGTTTCTCGTTCGCGCGTCAGGGACATCGGAGAGTTGGGGGAGACTTCGGGACTGAAGAGCTACGAGCAGCAGGCGCGAAGCGGCGAGGGAGGCTACACTTTCAAGGGGAGTCAAGCACTCAGGAAGTGAGCATACTATGCTGACGCAGACGCACATGTTTGGTCAACTTGTCCACTCTATGTTCTATTTGGCCGGGACATGGAGAACGAGCTTTAAGTTTCCTCTTTTTTTTGTGAACAGCGAGGGGGATGAGCCCATTTTGCCCACCGGGGAACGAGCCCCCATTGCACATTCCCTTTGGGAAACGAGTAGTTGTGACCGTGGCTCAGGTGCACTAGGTGGTTTGAACATCACCTTTTGGGTGCATGTTGATTGAGTTCCCTTGGGTGATGTGCTACGGATCTATTGATATTTATTGTGATCCACTTGTTCAGTAGCACCCTTGGAATCCTTTTTTGTTGTTGGGGTTTTCCACCATGGTCTTCGGGCCCGCAGATTCTATGTGTTGACTTTGTCCTCACCCCTCAATTTCACTTGGATCGGCCACAGGACCTTGGGTGTGCCTTAAACTTGGGGACCCCCACGCATTATGGGTTTCCACTTACCTTTACTTCACTGTTCTTGCATTTTTGTTTTGTTTTTGGGTTCTGTTCAGTTTGGCTGGGCTGCAAAAAGCAGTCAGTTTTTTGCAAGCCCATACCAAGAGTGGACATGTTTAAAGCTCCTTCCCAATTGCCCAGCGGTGCCGGTTTTTCCTTTTTGGGGGAAGGGTTCCGATTCCTTTAAAGTCAACCAGCCAGAAAAATCAGATGCCGATTGATTTCCCCCTGGCGATTGGGGCACCTGAGCCTCTTCCCTTTGAAGCAGCACCCTTTTGCCACAAAGAAGCCCGGGTATCTGAGCTCTAAGTTGGAAACGGGTTGTTTCCCCCCCGAAACGTTGAGCCACGTCCCGCCCCGAAAAGCCTCCAAACCGGCGTTCGGCTTATTTTTGCCGAAACCAGGTCCCCCAGTAGTCCCCTTTTACCGGGTATTTTACCGTTGCTTTTTTTGGGGAGGGCTCTTCTACAGACTACCGAAAAAAACAAAAAATGGTACCAACTTATTCTAGCCTCTCAACTGGTGGACCTAGTATTTACAGGGCCAAAACGATACTGCTTGGCAATAGAAACAGCGTTCGGCGTATCTCCGCGCCGAAACAACATACTTCTCATAGGGCAGCAACTCGAAGAAGGCGAGGAGCCTCCTCAGCATTGGGTTTGTTGTTTTTCCTTCTTGGAGTTGCTTTTTGGTTGGTGGTTGGTGCTTTTTGTTGGTGCTCTTCTGTGTGTTGTTTTTTTTTGGAGGTGCTGGTTTGAGTTTTTTTTTTTTTTTTTTTTTTTAAAGTTGAAAGGAAACAACAAATAAGCATGCGGTGCTTTTTTTAGCGCGCGCACCACCCCGCATCCCTCGCAGAACCTCGTGGAACCCTGGTGGAACTCGTGGAACCTTACCCCAGGGCCGCCCCGGACCACCCCGGAGCCTATTTGGGCTGAGACCCCCAAGCTTTCAGCTGGGGGAAAGAAAAAGAAAGCCAGCCAAGTGTTGGGGGTCCACTTCGTTGAGCCCATGTCGCGTCGACACAACCGCCAGGTGCTGGGGGCGCATCACACGCACACCAAGAGCAAGACCAAGAAGATGCCGGCCAGCGAGGGCGACACAGGCGCGCGGCTCGAGTCCGAGTCCGAGCGAAAGCGAGCGAAGTTCCTGCGCCAAGATCTTTTGGAACGGATCTGGCGAGAAGAAAAAAAACACGGGCGGGGCCATTGTTTGTGTGTGTGACCAGCTAAGTATCAATCCATGTCTTTACTTTCTAGGTTAGGGGTGCGTGTGCCAACTGCGCATAAGATCTTCCGCCATGCCGAATCCAGCTGGCCGGATTGGGTAACCATTGTTCCAACATGCGGACCTGGCCTGATACACAAGAGCCGGGTTCGGTTTCGCAACGGTCTGGTCCCTGGCAATGTGTTTTTTTGGGGTTGTTTCAACAGCGTGTGGTGGTTTCAGCATGTGGCAAAAGGACCCCTCTGCATCAAAACAACACCCGGCTCTATTCCTGTCATGCACCAACCACTGGTCATTGTGAGCAGAGGCTAGATTCTTAGCATTGTTTTAAGTATTCGCTGTAATTATGCAACCACTGTGTCTTAAATTGTTGGAAACACTATTCTGTGGGGTTCTCTTAAAAAAGGGCTCCCTTTGGTGGGTTGCCTTTGGTTTCCCGTCCAGCAAGCAAACCGTGGGTCCACAATTTTGCGAAGCCTCACACACTTGTCGTATCTATGGGCCCCGGAAGAACCCCTGCCCTTGGCTTTTCCAAAGTCTACAAGGCAAGGCGTTGGGAGTCTTGCTGGGTCGGCAGGGCCTTTTTATGCTTTTGTGGGGGAGGGTTCCCCTACTAAAATAGACTACAGAAAAAAAAAACAAAAAAACAAAACAAGTACTCTTATTCTAACCTCTCGGACCTAGTTTGGAAACGAGGGGATGGGCATGTACCAGGGATCGACACGCAAACTGGAGGAGGAGGTGTTCACGCTGCCAGTTCTCATACTACTCAAGCGGCTTTTTGCGGGGTAAAAAGAGGGTCGTGACTGAAGCTCCAATAGATACCAAGTAATTATCTTGAAAGGATGGATGTGTCATTTGTTTGAGGGGACTCCCCAAAATGGTGGTTTCCTTGTGGTTTTCCTTTATAGGACAGATAAACCTTTGGTGAAGATATTCTTCACGCGGCAGAGCCATGAACTCCGCACCAAATTTCAACCCTTTGATTGAAACCCCTTTGCTGGCTTTCGCGGGAGACTTTCTCTACCCTCAAACTACAACTAAGTCCCCCAGTAGCGCCCTTTTACCCTTTTTTTGGGGGAGGGTAAATAGACTACCGAAGAAAGGTTGGTACCAACTTATTCTAACCTCTCTGGAGGACCTAGACAATGAAAGAAGGATGATTGCCCCAACAGCTATGGGTTTTTGTCCCTTCCCAGTTTGAGGCTCCAACATGAATCCCACGGCTTCTAAGCGGCTTCCACTTTGCTCAAAGCCGCCCACAGCGATTCCCCAAGCACCGCGCATCCTTGGTACCGAAACACGCCGACCAGCTGCAATGCAGAAGGATTGAACGTTGCCAAGGCAGAAATAAGCAAGCTTGGCAGGCCAAGATTTCAAGCAGCAGTTGGGTAGCCCTCGGTAGCCAAGAGGAAATAGATAAGCCATGGCAAGAGAGATTACGGTGCGGCAGCTGTCCGCAAAGGAAGAATCATTCAAAGTGACCCCGCGCATGACTGTCCGTGAGTTCAAAAGGCAGCTGCACGGGTGGCTTGCCTGTGAAGATGAATCAAAGCGCACCATGAGCTCGGTGGAGATGGTTGTTGGAGACAAACTTTTAGTGAAGAACAAGGAGACGGTGTGCAAGGCAATTCCAGGTACAGACGTGCTGGCTTTCCTGAGCATCAAGCCGGTGACGTGCTCTAGCTTCCGAGCGGCTAGGGTCGAGAGTGAGGATTTCCGGGTGGTGGAAGTTCCAAAGTGTGTCGCTACAATTACACGTCAGGCCTTCCAAGATTGCAAATCACTGGCAGACGTGACCATCTCCGACTCCGTGAGACTGATCGCGGTGAGTGCCTTCCAAGGTTGCAGCTCTTTAGCCAAAGTGACCATGCCTGACTCTGTGACTGTGATAGACGGCAGTGCCTTCAAAGATTGTAGCTCGTTGGCACACTTGACCATCCCTGACTCCGTCATTCGGATTGGACCACATGCCTTCCAGGGTTGCGGCTCGCTGGCAAATGTAACCATCCCTGTCTCTGTGACTCAGATTGGACCACATGCTTTCCAGAATTGCAGCTCACTAGCAAACGTGACCATCCGTGCCTCCGTGATAGTGATCGAGCTCGGTGCGTTCCAAGATTGCAGCTCATTGGCAAACGTGACCATTCCTGACTCAGTTACACGGATTGCAGAAAGTGCCTTCCAGGGTTGTAGCTTATTGGCTAGTGTTGCCATGCCCGACTCAGTTACATGGATTGCAGACAGTGCCTTCCAAGATTGCAGCTCATTGGCGAACGTGACCATCCCCCACTCCGTGACTCAGATCGCGTTTCGTTCCTTCCAAGATTGCAGCTCACTGGCAAATGTGATCATCCCTGACTCTGTGTCTGTGATAGAGGGCAGTGCCTTCAAAGGTTGCACATCATTGGCACATGTGAGCATCCCCAACTGCGTGACTGTGATAGAAGGCGCTACCTTCCAAGATTGCAAGTCATTGGCAAATGTGACCATCTCTGACTCTGTGACTCAGATCGGGCTTTGTGCCTTCCAAGGTTGCAGCTCGTTAGCAAGCGTGACCATGCCTGACTCAGTGACTCAGATCGGGCTTTGTGCCTTCCAAGGTTGCAGCTCGTTGGCAAACGTGACCATCCCTGACTCCACGACTCAGATCGGGCTTGGTGCTTTCCAAGGTTGCAGCTTGTTGGCAAACGTGGCCATGCCTGACTCTGTTACTCAGATTGGACCACATGCCTTCGAAGGTTGCAGCTCGTTGCCAAGCGTGACTATCCCCAACTCCGTTACAGTGATAGAAGGCGGAGCCTTTCAAGGTTGCAAGTCATTGGCAAACGTATTCATCCCTGACTCTGTGACTCAGATCGGGCCCAATGCCTTCCAAGGTTGCAGTTCGTTGGAAACTGTGACCATCCCCGACTCCGTGAATGTGATTGGAGATTTCGCCTTTGAAGGTTGCAGTTCATTGGCCGACGTGACCATCCCTGCCTTTACGCGTGTTGCAGAAAGTGCTTTCCACGGTTGCAGCTTGTTGGCTCCAGGAGCCCCACTGAGCAAAGTTCGCAGAACCGCCTAGACTAGGTCCCCCGGTAGTGCTTCTGTTTTTGGGGGAGGGTTCCTCTACTAAAGTAGACTACGGAAATAGGGTACGCTTATTCTAACCTCTCTGCTGGAGGACATAGCAGAATTCCAGCTATGCCTCGCAGAAGTACCCCTGAGGGGAGGGGGGGAGCCCAAATAAGCCCTACTGTCTCGTTCTGCTGCAGAGGAACAGCTGTCGCTCGAAATTTGTCACTGTTTCACTAGAGTGGCGCTCACGTGAGCCGTTGGTCAAAACGCGGACAAACTCTTTTTTTTGGCCCGGGGGGGGGAGTCAGGGATGGTCAGGATAGGCAGCTTTGGACATGGGAAATTGCATTGTTCGTTCATGCTGGAGCAAGCCATGTGTAATACGTGGTGCTAGCAGTAGTCAATATTGACATTCATTTCCTGGGACACGGGCCACACTCATCAGATTTTAACCAAGGGTGCATGAAACATGGCAAATCATGAACTACTCCACGGGTAACTGGGATCCGCTGGATGTGCTGTCCAGTTGCAGTGGGGCTAGCTCTTGAGACTTTTGTGGCGGGTTGTATTTTGAGGGCGGCGATTTCTTCCAAGACATGGGGTGTGGTTCCTTTTCTTGAGGCCAAGGATGTCACTCCATGGGGGGTTTTGCGACTCATCGGGCTTGCCTTCCAAGTTTGCAGCTCGTTGGGGAAAACCCGTGACTATCCCTGGTTTCTTGAGGCGAAGGGTACCTGGAGTCTCCTTCTGACCCTTAAAAAATGGGTCCATGGCTCCTTTATTTTGGGTAACGACCGACCAGATTTCAAGGGTCAGAAGGAGACTCCAGGAACTTCTTTTTGGATTTCAATGGGAAAGCAAAAGGAAGCCGTGGGGACCCTTGGGCTTTCCAAGACTGCAACCCACCTGGCGGTCAAAGATATGCCACGAATCCGAATATGGGCGTGCGTAGTTTGGAGGGGTAACCTGTGTCAGGTTCAACAGGGAAACCGAAAGAAAACCACCACTTCTTGGAGGTCCCCCTATTTTGACACTGATTTTGGGAGTCCCCCTATTTTGACACTGACACAGGGTGGATGGCAAAGGCAAAAAGGGTTGGGATTGAATTTGCCCTCTCATGTTCGGTGTGACGTATATTTGAAACCTTCAGCAATTGTGTCAGACCACGTTGGGTTGTGTATGTCAACATATTGTCAACATGTTTGTTGAGAGTGTGTATCCCCTTGCTAGAACTTCGTCGGCCCGCGGTCTCCAGGTCAAGCTTTCACTTTTCCGCAGTTTTTTCTTTTTTACCCCCTGGGTTTTCTGTCATGGTTCTACGGCCCATTTCCTCTAACAAGCTTCTGAGGGTTGAGCCCCATATTTTCAACCAGACCCTTTTGCAAACTAAATGTAACTAAACGGCTTGTTCAGAAAACCTAGGAGAGGGTAGACCTTCGCTCAGAAGGAAGCGCCACCGAGGTTCAAGATATTACAAACCTTTTTCCCTACGGTTTTGCAGAGTTTCGGCTGGGCTTCTGATCTTGTTTTGGGCCATCCCCATGGGTTTGTTTTGTTTTTTAGGGATTAGTTGCAGCTTCCACAACCACTTCAAACCTTTAGCAGGAGATCTAGGAACAGCCCATGTGTCCTTTTTTCCTATTTTTTTGAGAATCGAACCCTGACGTGCAAATTCTGTGTGTACAGAATGGCTCCTATGATTTGTTTTAACCTTGCACGCCTTGGATTGGGATACGTCTCAAAGGGGGCCCTCAAAATTTGTTTCGCATTTTCCTTGTTTCGTTTTCCGGCCCAAGAAAACCCAGACAAAAGTCAGCAAAGTGCACTCAAAAAGGGCCAACACGCTAGAAGCCTCAGCCTGGGGTTCGAATGGATGGAGCATCCAGCTGCACTTTCCCATGGTTGTTGCGGAGGGAGGTCAGCCTGGTTCGCCCGTTTGTTTTGTCCCCATGGACGTTTAAGCCCCAAAAACCCATCGCAACAGCGGTGTTTTAACAAAAAGTTGGGGTCGCAACTCGGCGATCTAGGTGCCTGTTTTGGGGGGACCCCCATGGGTGATTTTCCTTCAGGTTTCCCATCCCCAAGGCCGACGGGTGTAAGCACGTTCTTTACGGGCAAAGATGAGGGAGACTTTGTGTCCTTTGCAAGCTTCAGGACTTAGGGCTGCACCAATTTATCTTTAAAAAAAAAAAAAAATGTAGCCCCTTTTCGGACCTGGTACCGCTTTGTGCCAACCAAAAAGGACACCTCAGCCGCTGGGGGTGAGGGCTGATGTTGTGTATTGAGGGTACTGGACTTCATTGTACCATACCCTCTTAGGAACAGTTTGGAGCATGTAGAGGTAAAATGACAACGGCTTCGTGAACCCCAAAATAGGTACCAACTCAAAAAGCACACCCTCACATGCATAGGTGCTCTTTTTGTTTGTTTTGGTCGAGACATAGATGGCCCTGGTTTTCCTGGTGGTTTAATCATCTACCAGGGCCATCTATTTGCCCCAAAAGGGACACCTATGCTCACACGGGTATGGGTCAATTAATTTGATCACCAGGATATGGACCGCAGGTTTTAGTCCTTGGTTCCATTTACCGATCGGGCAGGCCATTCTGGGGTTACCCCATTTTGACCACCGCCACCTTCGGCCGGTTTCTGCGCGGCCTGCCAGGGCCCACGGTCGTTGAGGACGAGGCGCGGTCTCCGCGCTGGGATTGGTTTAAACCTACCTGGAGTCTCCCTAAGGACCCTTTAAACATGGGTCCATGACCCCTTTTTGGGGTAATGACCAACCATTTTTTAAGGGTCATGGAGACTCTAGGTGCGAGCCTTTGGTAGCCTTTGCCTCACTTCTTGGACTTGATTTTTTCTAGGTCCCCCAGTAGTGCCTTTTTGCCGTTTCTTTTTGGGGGAAGGGTTCCCCTAAAAAAGACTACAGAAGAAAGTTGGTACCCTTCCAACCTCTCTACTGGAGAGCCTGGTAGCCTTTGCCTTCCTGGACTTGAAACTTTTTTTGGGGTTTGGCCCATTTTGGCGCTACGCAAGAAGCTCTCCGGGGCGTTTTTTGGCCGGTCCACTCAGGAAGTGAGTTTCTGTGTGCCGTGGACACTTCGACTCTGATGTCTGCAGCCAAGAACCCTGATACCCTCTAAGAAGGTAGACGATGGGGGGAAGAGGCTTCATTTTGCGACCTTTTGGGGTGGCTGTTTCTTTTCTTGGTCCTGAGATCTCCTCCAAAAGCCATTAGTTTTCCGGCCCGTGGGCTGGGATATGGCCCAGAAATCTGGACGTTAGGGGCCAAATTTCGCGGGGTTGAATTCTATCATGCAAGCGGACACTCGGCGCATGGAGTTGATACAGAAGCAGAAGGGGACTCATGTAGATGGCGGTATTGGCGAAGCCTCCCTCCCCATTGCCCTCCTTGGCTGTTAGGAAAAAGGGTCTGAGTGAGTTCGCTTCGCACAGAAAGTGGGCGAGCGGGGTTCGGTTTGCGGGCTGGCTTTCTTTCCGACCGGGCTGCCCAATTCAACTCGCAAGACTAGCGAGCCTCGGGTCAAGACGTCGAAGAAATCAGGCGTGTCCGTGTTTAGTTTGAATTGGAATTGCTGGCCCGTTTTGTATTTGGTCGTCCAATGTGAATGTTCTAGTCCGGGATCCCATTTGGGAAACGCACAGGGTTAGGCATGCTTTGTTGGAACAAACAGACCTTGGTCCCATAAGGGGAACCAAGAGGAGGTTGTTTTAACAACACGTTGTGGTTTAACAGCCGGTAGGCAACAATTGAAACCTGTGTCGCTTGGTTTGGTCCCGATCAAAACATCAGCTGGATTGCAAACGTGTTGGCATGATCATGACGTGGCTGCGATTTGAAGGTGCCCGACAATTGATTCCCTTATAGCAGTCCGCACTTTCGATTTGGATTTTGGGATGACTACTTCAATACCTAGGTCCACCAGTAGTGCCCCTTTACCCTTTTTTTTGGGGAGGGTTCCCCTACTAAAAGACTACAGAAAACAGCGGACCCTTATTCTACCCTCTCTACTGGAGGAACGAGACTACTTCAATACAGAAGGTCACTTGTGTGTCCTTTTGGGGTGATGTTCAAAGGGACAGGTGAGGCGCCCTGTCAATAGCTTCCCAGGTGTCAACGGTGATACTACTTGTAGTGGCAAAAGGCTGAACCAAACTGGTTTGCAACCCTAGCCCCATTTACACCTGTTGCACCACCCCAACGTGTGAGTTGCTTCCCCGTTGCTACCTGGAGTCTCCATGACCCTTTAAAAATGGGGTCACTACCAACAATAAAGGGGTCATGGACCCATTTTTTAAGGGTCAGAAGGAGACTCCAGGTACCTACTTTCGAAGCAACCTGCCTTCTTGAGTAAGGAGAAACAGCTTCAAGGGATTTATGACCGGGTGTTATTCACAGGGTAACTAGACACAACGGGTTTAATTCCCTTTCGCCTTTTGCAACCTGAGGACCAGCTGGTGGGTATGGACAAAGTCATCGACGGCCGCGTGCTGAAATTTCCCACGGTGATACTCACGTCACCTAAGTGACACTCACGTCCTAAGTTCCTGGGCTTTAGTCACTTTTGGGGAAGACCATTCTTAGTGGTAAGCACAAAGTTTGGGTACTTTTTTTGGCCCATCCACTCAGGAAGTGAGAACCAACGGCTCCCCCAAACAAGAAAAGCATACCCTGGCAACTAGGTTACACAACCATGATGATGGCATGGCTGGTCGTGAGTGTGGGCAGGTGTGGCGCTAGACCCTTTTGAAACAAATGGCTTTTCCTAGGTCCCCCAGCTAGGTGCCCTTTTTTTGGGGGGGAGGGTTCCCCTACTAAAATAGACTACAGAAAAAAGCAGACCCTTATTCTAGCCTCTCTACTGGAGGACCAAGTTCTTCATTAAACCTGCAAAAGGCTATATAGACCTTTTCCTCGGGGGGAAGAGCAACGTAGATGACTGGGGTTAGCTTCCTTGTTAACCTTGCATGGGTTGACCATCCGAGCAGTGGTGGTTTGAGGAATGAGTTCAACAAGGCCTGCCCAACCAAAAAAACGGCAGGGGCAGGGGAATCTCTCAGTTTCTACATACTACAATACTTAATTTTGGTAGGGGCGGATAGTATTTTGCCATCGCATTATACCCCAAAAAACACGTAAATAGTATAAAATCCAAAGATCATTCTCTGCTGAACTTTTCGGACGCATCGGGCGTTTCCCACATCCCCAGCTTTTGGAAGCTCGGGCAGCGGGGCGTTTCAATCACTGGCCTTTAGTTTTTTTTTTTGGGTGGGGGGCCTTCTTGGAAGCCCCAGATGGAACCCCACTTTTGGGGTCCGTTCCCAAAAGGAGTTTCCTGGAATGTGCTGGGGGGTTCTGGTTGGTTCCTTCCGATCTGAATCGGGATTCACAGGGATGGACCTATTGGGCGCTCGCCCCCCAATTGTCCGGGACCATTCACGATGGATTCCGAAAGGCCCTAACCGGCCTGGCCTCAGGGCTTCCGAACCCCGAAAAACGGAGGCTCGTTTCTTTCGACATGTCCGAGCGGATGGTTTTCTCGTGTCTCGTGTTTTGCTCCCCGGCGTTTGGGCTGTTGTGGCTGAACTCTGGTGAAACGCCCACGAAAACCTCCCAATATAAGCGTGGCTTAAAAAGTATCGACGCATGAAACACCCCCCTCCCCCCAAACGAAAAAAAACAAAAGACCTGGAGTCTCCATGACCCTTAAAAACATGCTGGTCATTACCCAAACTTAAGGGGTCATGGACAGGGTCAGAAAGAGAATGCAGGGACGTCCTCAGGGCCACTTTTTGTTTTAAACGGCCTCCGGTTTTGGGACGTCAGGTTCTCAAGTTACTTGATTCGGATGGGCGGTTTGGGGTTCGGAGTGTCTCGGCTCGGAACTGGGCCCTTACCTGGTGGCTCAATCATCTACCAGGGGCATCTTTTTTCCAACACCACAAAGTGGCAGGTTTTCCTTTTGGTTTCGCTTGAAAACCACAAACAGGGGGCACCCTTATATATGGGTATGCACCAGGGGACCACAGGTTTTAGTCATTGCTTCCATTTACCAGGGTGCCATTTTGGGTACCTATTTTTGACCCACAGCCATATAGACAGACCCAAGTGGGCGTGGCTTTTGTTGAGGAGAGCACCACAGCTTGGTTGCTGGTTTTAAACCCAAACCAGGACAGTTTCCCCAGACCTCCTGCGAGTTTTTCCCGGATTCCCTTCAGGTGAAACCCCGTTAGACTCGACTGGCCTTTTTCCTGTTTCATGTTCTTCCTTTTTTGACAAACAAAAACTGGCTGTTTTTATATGTATATATAATAATAATAATAATAATAATAATAATAATAATAATAATAATAATAATAATAATTATTATTATTATTATTTGCTTTTTCCGCTGTTCTTCTTTTTCCCGTGTTTCATGTTGTTTTTTGCTCAACTGGCCTTCCTCCTTTTTATTTGAGAAAAAGGTCGGAAGACCCCCTTTTCATGTTGCTGGCTATGTTTTGAGGCGGGAACCCCGTAAAAGTCTCGATAGGCATTGGACCCTCCATACGGGCAAAAGGTTCACCTCAAAGATTCTGAAAGGGCCGTTTGAGGGCCTCGTTGATGCCACCGCGCAAAAAAGGCGGGTGGCAAGCAACCGGGTCATGTCTGACAGTTTGGTTTTGGATGATCAAAGGCCATCGCAAAAAACACATCTGCACCAGTTGGTAGGTGGTTAATCCCATTAATACCTGGACCCTCAAACTACCTTACAACAAAAGAAACCACCCACCATAATGTTTAGGGTTGCTATCGAGTTGCAATTTTGAGGGTCCGCGTGCATCACCTGCTGGTGCGATAGGCAGAGAATGAGGGAATGATGGGGATTCTCTTAAAGGAAAGCATAGGGGACGGTTTGTAGGGGTCATTCCTTCCCTATGTCAACTCCGCCAAACCTCGATTCGCAGATTCGAGATCCACTTGGGAAATGAGGCCAGACCTTGTCAGTGGCCGTGCCCTGGTCGTTGTGGCGCCGGTCTCGGCGGGGTCGAACTCCCCTGACCCGTTGAATGGGGGTGTATTTTTGTGGTTTTAGGGGAACCAGCTGGTTTTTTTTGTCTCGTTCTTTTTGGGGGGTGGTTTTAAGGGGGAATCAGAAGGTAACCCAGCCTTCAGTTCTTTTTGGGGGGCGCTGTTTTGGTGTTTTAGGGGAAGCAGCTGTAGTTTTTCGGGGGTAGCTCTTTGTGTGTGTGTGGGGGGTGGTTTTAAGTGAATCAGAAGGTAACCAGGAGTGTCCCCTTTTAGTGGGATTCCGCGTCACTTTTGGAGGGAGCACGCCCCCCCAGGAATAGGAGGAGTTCCATGACAACATCAGACAAGGTCACACTCCTCTCGCCATTCTTTTGACAGCGACACGCAATTGGCCACGTCTGGGGTAGACTTAGGATACATCTTACATTTTACCAGTGACTCAAAGTGAAGCAAGCAATAAAATATACATTTTATAACTGGGCCTAAGTCTAATCATGAAGTAAGCTGGGATTAATTGCAGCCCCTGGAAAATAATCTGAACCGAAAGAGCCAGCAACTCCAATCGAGCGCAACAACACTGAAGCCTAAAGTGGCCCTTTCCCTTTCGCCCGTGGGTAGCAACGAAAATAATTTGAGGAGCTGACCATGGCCAGACTCCGCTTCCTTTTCCGAGCTTAGCTTTGCAATCTCAGAGGTGATTCTTAGTCACGTCTTGAGTTGATGGACTTTTTTGGGCGGGGGGACGACCATTTTGGCAACCAACAAGTTGGGACTTGCTTTGCCAATCCATTTAGGGAGGATTCTGACTGTTTCTGGGGTCATCTGAGTCAGAAACTGGATTCGGTTGTTTCTCTTTCCTCTATAACTTAGGGAAGACTTCGAGGATGGTAAAATAATGGGGCCAGCTTCTCGTCATCTTCCAGCAAAATGTGAACGCTTTAAACGGGGACAGCGATCCGTCCCCAATTTTGCGGGAAATCGGATCCGTGCCATGCGACAAGTTCTTGCCGCTTGGACAACTTTCAGCTGCCCTTCGGGTTCGTCACTTCACGGAAGGAAGGCCGACCATGTCCAAAGAAAACATCAGCTGGGTATGGGTCAAATTAACCAAGGCGACCGGAGGGATGCATGTTTCCATGGGGTTTCATTTCGGGTGCCTGTTTTTGACCCACACCAACTCAGGTTTGGACAAACCGTTCAAAAGTTGAACCTCGTTTTCGCCAGTCAACTCAGACAGTGCCGCACAAAAGCGCGTGAGGCCCCAGCAGACCACCGAGTGGAAGAATGCCGACTCAGCGGGGGGCCCGTCGGGTTGGCCTTCGGTGAATTTGGAGCGGGTCGGGGAGTCGGGACCCAAGGGATCTCAAGCAAGTCCCTCGCTTCAGTTACAATGATTAAAACAAAGGTTGGGTTAATACTGTGGATGGACGAAATCCTGCACCACCTAAGAAGCCCCGGGATGGTCTGATTCCCTGTAAATTCCAACAAACAATGGCTTCCCCTGGTTTTAAGGTGGTGCGAAATGGATTTCGCAACCATCCGCCGTATTTCAGCACCATGGATTTACCCTTCATCATCTAAGTGGGATCCTTGCCCATGAAAACGACTCCTCCCTAGGGAAGCCCGGGTTCGGCGAACCCCCTGGGAGCCGCCTGTCTCAACTCAGCCCAGGGCCCGTCACAGCCCGGCCCTCCCACTCCGGATCCAAGTGGGCCAATTTTGGCACATAGTCCAGGCTCCACGGTGGTCGTTGGGAAACATTTGTTTGCCATTTTCCACGGACCGAAAGCATAAGGTGAAGGCCAAGGACATACTCATGGGGTATTGGGCGTACCACATACATGGTTGTTGTTGAGAAACATTTGAACCATTTTTGCTTGTTGTGGTTTAGTGGGAAATCCCCACTTAACTGCTAAAATTTAAATGTTTGCTCCCCTTCCAACGTCAACCAAGGTTTAGTCCAGGCTCCATGTTCAAAATGAATCGCCAAAAAGGAAGCTCACCTGCCAACATGCTTAAGGCCACAAACGAGATACGTGGAATCTTGTTTGGGGAAGTATGCCAGGAAATGAACTCTTGTCCACAATCATGGAACTGCAAGTTAAAGCCGAACGCATTCGTGAACCTCCTTGAGGCAGAATGAGGAGAGCATTAAGTAACACAGAATCACATGCAATCAGGCCCTACCTGAAGTCTCCATGACCCTTAAAAAATGGAGTCATTACCCAAAGGGTCATGGAGACTCCAGGTACGTGAAATCTGCACAGACTCAGGGGGTCAACTTTGTGTTTGTGCTTGTGTTTGTGTTTCATTTAGGTGTTTTCTTTGGTCGTTGGTAATGTTGACCCCATATTAATACCCAAGTTATTAATTGGGGGTCGTCCATGGGTTTAGTAGGGAATCATCACTTTCGGAGGGGAACACGCCCTTTTTAAAAACATCGGGGTTGATCGACTAGGTCCCCCAGTAGTGCTCTTTTACCCTTTTTTGGGGGAGGGATAGACGACAGAAAAAAGACGGTACCCTTATTCCAACCGAACCTCTCTAATTACTGGAGGACCCAAACCCAACATCATGGATGGTGGTTTCCCCTCTTTTTTGGGTAGTTTGAGAGTTTGAGGGTCCGGGTAGCTTCATCAGCGTGTCTCTCTTTTTTTTACTTTTCGGCCCGAAGCACATCCATTTCTACACCGTGGAATCTCCTATTTGACTCACGTGGCGCACCGCTCCGAACTGCCTGAGTTTATTTACAAAAAAACACGAGACACTCGCAACAAGTTCCGGGGCAGATAGCAACCCAGAGATGAACTGTGATCCCCCTGTTGGTTTTTGGTTGGTACTCTTTTAGTATTCTTTTAATATCCTAGAGGGGTGACATTCGCCACATCCAAACCGTTTTGTAGAACTCTGAGTTTTGAAATACGCACGTGGCCAAAAGACCCCCCTCCAAAAAGCCCCAAAACGCTGGTTCGCCGGCCGAGTATGCAACGCTGATCCCCGACACAGAGTCCTTTGGCATTGCCTTCTATGTCAAGGACTCGTGCTTGGAATGACTCGCCTTGGTTTTCGGTTGGTTTTCAATCGCTGGTTTTGTGGTTGTTTTTGTTGTTTTGTTGCCTTTTGGGTGATTAGGTTGTGCTGGTTTCGTTTGGTTCCTTCTGGTTTCTGTTGTTGCCACTCGCTTGCAGCCAAAGCGAGCCGAACTTTTGACCGTGTTCAGTCATGCCCCCCAAAATGTTAACCTTTTATTTGTGGGTCCTTTGGGCAACTGAGTATACTTTAACTCGTGAAAAGCCTGCCAAGTCCAACATGGCACGCTCCAAATGCCCCCAGCGTTTGGTGTGTGCCAGTCTTAGGATTCACGATTTGGTTATGAGAAATATGTGCTCGGACCCAAGCTCGTCGCACCTTCAAAGGTGTTCAATGACTAGGTCCCCCGGCTAGGTGCCCTTTTACCGTTTCTTTTTTGGGGAGGGTTCCCCTACGAAAAAAACAGACTACAGAAAAAAAAGTTGGTACCCTTATTCTATACCCTCTCTAGATGAGCATTTCTCGATCATGGTGTCCCGTCCAAATGATACACGTGCTCCGGGGCCCTTGTTTTGTCGGCTCAGAGTATTGAATAGTTGGGACATGGGATGAGCCTCATCAAGCCGCTAGAGCCACTAGCTGCTTGAAAACAATAAGACTGCATGGTTAGGGGGGTAACTTTCTCATGGCAGGGTTGTTCCGTTTTGGAGAACCCTCAACCACATCTTGTGTTCAAGATGTTTGCCGGTGAGGTCATTTCTGGTCTTGCAAAACAGGGTGCTCTTTTCAGGGGATATGATCTTCTGCCAACCCTCCGAGCCATCGAATTCCGGGTTTCTGAGCAACCGAATTCCGGCAATTGCAGTTTGGCAAAGAGTCCCCTTGCGAGTAAATCATTTGGTGCGGAGATGGTTGCCAACTTGCGATTCAGGATGATTGAGGTTTTCAGGGTAGACCCTTCAAATACCAGGTCCAGGTGAGCCACAATCAAAACCCCGGGTAGATGAAGGTTAGTATGGGACAATCCCAACCATAAATAGCTGCGCCCGCCTTGGTCATTCGTTACATGCATCTGGATAGACCAATTGAATACCGGGTTTTGATTATGACTTGGCAGGGCTCCTTAAAAGATCTCCATTTTGCAATTTTGCAACCATTTGAATCATGTTGCATTTTCCACCAACATAAAGTTGGACACCGTATACAAGTTGCAATGTTCGATCGGTGTTTTTCATGCATCCGGATCCCTGCTTATGCTTAGGTGTTGATCTGTTGACCCCGGAGGAAAAACACACACACACACCCTGGATCCTGTTGGGGTGCTTCCTCCCCGAAGCTGGGCACCGGGCCCACGTCCAGCAAGAGCAGAGTATAAAAAGCTATCTGGAGTTGAAGGGTACTTGCACTTACAAAAAGGAAGAAAGGAAAACAACGCATAACAAATAATGTAGATATAAGTGAATCCCCATCGGAGCATTATCTGTGATTTTCGGGAGTTTCAGGCAGTGGAAAATCAAGTTTAATATTAGAGACTCTATGGTTCCTTGGGTGTGGTTCCTTTGTCTGATTGTACCTTTTCAAAAAATGTCTTTCTGTTACAAGGAAAGCCACCCTTCTTTTTTTGGGATCCGATTCCTAACAGCCTAACAGCCACATGAATTTCCTGAGTTCTCAGTTTGACTCAGAGAGTGGTGCGAGTCCCACACCCAGAACATGTGCACCTTGCAGACTGCGGCAGCAGAACCTTGGGAGAAAGTCTCTGCGTGAATTCAATGGATTTTTATTTTCCGTGAGCGTTTTTCAGAAAATATTGTTTCCTGGAGTCTCCTTCTGACCCGAAAGAAAAATGGGTCCATGACCCCGAAAATATTTGGGTAATGACCAACCATTTTTAGAGGGTCATGGAGACTGCAGGTTTATGTTTCCCTGTTGGTTTTAAAGGGGAGCTATCACTGGATGTTTCTGTTATATATTGTTTTCCAGAAGACTTAAGCTCCAGCTCTCAAACCAACCGCCAGGTCTCAACGGGCGAAGGTTTTGTTCTTCGGTTCCGGCCTACTTTCGGCTGAAGCGAATGCGTGTTGAGAAAAGCTTTGTGGTTTCTGCAATTTGGGGGTAACTGCGGTAACGGTGCTTGGTTAGTCCGGGTTGGTTTTCATAGAAAATCCTCAGTGGGGTTAGAGCCCATGGAACATCCCGGTTTGCTCTGGGGTAACTGGTCTCCGATAGTCCCCCCCAAAAAAAAGACAACACTAGTTGCGGGGGGTAAGTCTCCATAGATCATGCTTGCCTCTATGCCTAAGCCTCAGATTTTGGCAACCAACCTGCAAAGAAAAACCTATATTTAACTATGGCTCAAAAAAACGGTACCAAAATGGAACCCTGGTAAATGGAAACATGGACCAAAACCTGCGTAACCCCCCCCCCCCCCCTGTTTAATTTTGAGCCACACCCATTTGGTGGTTTCGGTTTGTGGCTTATGAGTGTCAATCCCTGGCTCCGGAGGGCAAATGGGGTTCGAACCCACCCCGCCGAATCACCGACTTGGCTCACGAGACCCAGCTTCGTGCGAAGCCATTGCGGCCAGGACAAGCCCCCCATGTACTACGAGGCGGGTGAAGTGAAGGGCATGGGTCTGGATGGTTTATGGGATAGCTAGGTCCCCCAGTGGTGCCCTTTTACCGTTTCGGTTTTTGGGGAAGGGTTCCCCTACTAAAATAGACTAACAGGAAAAAAGTTGGTACCCCTATTCTAACCTTTGTACTGCAAGACCTTGCCAGGTTTATGGAGTCCGGGGAAAGGGGCGTCCAAGGGTAAGTAAGCCTACGGAACCCTAGGTTAGCCCTACTTGGGCGTTTTGGATTTGCCAAGTTAGTAAGATAGTCAACTACCTGGAGTCTCCCTGACCCTTTAACAATGGGTCCATTACCTTTCCGTTTTGGGTAACGACTCCATTTTTTCAGGGTCCTGGAGACTCCAGCTAGATTATAACCTACTTACAACCAACTCTTGTCGGGACTTCGGAGGTGAAAGCCGCACGTGGCGAACCGATTTTCTAACTTGGCCGAACGCCCAAGTTGGCAACCCTAAGGTCAACCACCCACACCCCGTGTACCCCACCCTAAAGGTGCCAATCGCCTGATTTGTGTCACCCTATGGCGTGGTATTGTTTTGCCTGGTGTTGGTTCTTGTTCTAGTTTATTGGGATTTGTCTGCTGGGGCAATTCCTTTCCTTAACTGAGTACCCTTTCGTTCATGAAATGTATATTATTGAGTATCAGGACCTCAGGAGCACCACTCATTGGACAATTGTTGGCCTGGCACTATTAATATCCTGCAGTTTGGTCCGACTCCTACACCTACTCTAAGTTTCACTCCTCCGCTTCCTCCTGCTACTACTACTACTACTACTACCACTACTACTACCACTACTACTACCACTGCTACCACTTCTACCACTGCTACTACTAGTACTAGTACTAGTACTAGTACTAGTACTACTACTACTACTACTACTACTACTACTACTACTACTACTACTACTACTACTGCCACTACTACTACCATTACTACTACCACTGCTACCACTACCACTACTGCTGCTCCACTCATTCTGCTCATACTTCTGCTTATGTGTCATGGACTCCAGACTCACCGCAACTCGCCTTAGGCGGCCTGTGAGCTGGAGCTGAGCCGCGGCCTCGACAGCCGGGGCCCGAGCGCGAACAAAAACCCTCGAGGGCGTGAACGGCCGGGAGTGGATCCATGGAACTCTCTCCTAGGCCTGCCAGTAGTGCCTGGGTTTAGTGGGGAATCATCACTTTTGCAGGGGAACACCCCCCTATTAATAAGCTGGGGTTGATGAATATGGGGTCAACATTCCCTTTTTGTGCTTTTTACCAGGAAACCAACAAGGAGGGCCTAAATCCATTTTGGGGGAGCCAGCTAGACGGCCTTTCACCATATTTTTTTGGGGGAGCAATGTTGATCCTGGCTTTTGCGGCTGTCTGCTCTTGAAAAAGTCCTGTCTTTTTGTTGCTGGTTTTAAAGGGAGACCAAAAGAAAACTAGGTCCCCCAGCTAGGTGCCCTTTCTCACCATTTTTTTTTGGTTGGGAGGGTTCACCTACTGAAATAGACACAAAAGAAAAAAGAGGGTACCCTGATTCTAACCTCTATTGGAGGACCTAGTCTTTGACTCTGGGCGTTTGCTTTTGTAGTTTGATCCAAATATTTGTTTTGGCCCTTCTTGTGCTTTAGTTTGAGGAAAAATGATTTTCATGCCGTAAAGGGGAGGGGAGATCCCAAAGCCGCTGAGATCTTCTACAGGGCGAACGGAAAAACCACCGCGAACACCTTCAAACCATCGGGCAAACCACCGATTCGACGGTCTAGGTTTCGCCCTCCAACCCCCTCGTTTTTTTTTCTCTCCAAATCTTCAGCTTCCCTTTGGGTGGGTTTTCGAGGGTGTCCCTCTTGGGTTGCTTCTAACGCAAAACAAAAAGGGCAAAAGGAACACCACTTTTGTGGGGCTCCCCTAAAAACAGAGACACCTATTTGTAGCTTCCCTTTTGTTGGTTTGCAGATTTTGGTGGTTGTTTCAATTGGTTGCAGGAATTCAGGGGTTCAAACCCAAATCCAAACCACCCGGCTCCAAACCAATTAGAAGGGAGCTAAAATGGGGATGGCCCTGGGAAACGTTGTGACTATGGGTTTGTGTATCCCCCCCCCTCAAAACTCGAATTGGGGAAGCGGGGGTTTGACCCTAAAGACCTCGATGTGTTCTCTTTTCCCTTCAGGGAGAACTGATAAAGTGGAATCGGAACACCTCTCCGTCCGTTCATATAGGGGGATGTTTGTGTTTGGGAGGCTCAGGACTTGTTCAGGGTATGATGTCAACCCCCGACTAGAAAAGGGTGCACTTAGAAAGAAACAAAGCAGACATAGAAAGAAAGCACTTAGAAAAGTGTGCACCTAGGGTAATTATGATGCAACATATGCACCCAAAAAGTAGGAATTTGGAGTCGGGGGTTGGTTCAATGGGGAACCAACCGGACAACTCCGCCGATTGTGCGGGTCCCTGATTTGGATTTCATATCAACCCGAGAGATGCGAAGTCTTCGCGATTGCATGTTTCAAGCTGAAGCTTCGCGGTTTGGAGCCGGTTGATTTTTTTCAACCACTGTTGCATGGTTGTCGTTGGGAAACATTTTCACATGTTTGATATTATTGTGGTTTAGTGGTTGAAATCCAAATCCACTTAACTGCCAAAACAAATGAGGATTGTTGCTCCCCAAACCCAGCGTCAAACACTGAGGTAGTTGATTCTGAGTTTGCTCTCGGCTGCAAACTCCTAGGTGCCAATGGCATAGCCCCTCCCAAAGTGGGTTTCTCTTGAACAGTCATGCGGTTTCTCCCTGGAGTCTCCCTAAGGACCCGAAATAATCATGGGTCCATGACCCCGAAAATATTTGGGTAATGACCAACCTTTTTTAAAGGGTCATGGAGACTCCAGGTACCCTTATTTTACCCTGGGCTTCTCTTGAAGCATCCGCACCAGCCCGAAGCAAAGCTTCGATCGAGGCCCTGGCTCCGCGGGCATGTGCTTCCACCTGAAGCCGGGCCGAGGCAACGCAGGCGAGGAAAACCATCATACATGGGGCATGGCTGTGGTGGTCAAAATCGTTTTGGTATCCCATTTTGGTTGGGATGGGTGAATTCGCCACCCATGTCAGAACCTAGGCACCACCCATGTCAGAACCTATTTTGTGCTTGGATTGAATCGGATGTTCACTGGGGGCGAACCGATTTTTGAAAAGGCCATGGCCACATGGGTTCGGATCTTGGGCGATGGATGGAACATCATTTTGGTCGGAGGCCCCCGAACTGGGCCGAACTTTTGACACCCGAGTGGAAGGCAACTCGGGGTTTGTGGTATGTGGACTGCGGGGTTTTCTGCGCTTTTTCAGGTTCGGGATTTGTAGGGTACGTGCGTTTTTCTCGGCGGGGGCGGCGGTTCAGAGGGGTTTTTGTTACTGGTGCGATAGGGAATGACCGAGCCCAGCGGTTGGGGAATGAACCGTGGGATTCCCTCGAAGGAAACCACCAGATCGATGGGTTTTATGCATGGGGGTCATTCCATTTCTCATTCGCCAATCAGGCCAGCAATTTTGTTTTGGGGGGGCCGCAACAAGCTGCATCAATTGAAGTGCAGAAGGAGTAATAAAACATGTTTGTGCAAAAATGAGGCGCGCTGCATCAACCTGTCTTGTTTTGCCCAAATTTGCCGCAAACTGTCGCAGGCAGTATTCCCTGTGTTTGTTACCGTCTAGCGTTACTTACTTAAACTAACTTTCCTTTCTGTAAAACATGTGCCGCGGAAGGTTTGCGGAAGCAAGTGATGAGAAGCATGTGCCGCGAAAGTCTGAGGAACCTCTTGGCCCGTGGCAAGGATGAGGAAGGGTCCGCGGAAGCTTGAATGATATCCAATCAAGTTTAATGGGGAGTAATTCACAACGCTCAGGTTGGACATTCCCCCAGACACAGGCCACAGTGTCCACTGGGTTTTGCGCATCGAATAGCGGCGCAGTTTAGTTCACCTACTCAGGGCCTGGTTCGTAACCATCTGCGGCCAGAAGTCGGTTTTACTTTCAGGGTATGATGATCGAGGTATTTTCTTGGTGGCTCCCAGCCATCCGGTTCCTTAGCTGTTTAGACTTTTAGTGTTTAGTGGGGGTTTCCATTTGACCCACTAAAAGTTAAACTTTTAGCAGGGGATCTGAGGGCAGCCCAGTTTTGAGATGCTTGTGGCCGGGGGGGGGGGATTTGGGGGGGGGGGGGCTGATTCTCGGCGCATCCTGCCAGAGCCGTGGCGTGTCCGCGCGCTCGACGAAGATTTTGACTCCACTGGCCGTTGCCGCCCTCCCCAGCTCCACTAGGTCCCCCAGTAGTGCCTTCTTCCCCTTTTTGGGGGGAGGGTTCCCCTACTCAAATAGACTACAGAAAAAAGATGCGTACTAGTACCAACTTATTCTAACCTCTCTACTGGAGGACCTAGTCCAACTACGTCGCGAGGGACTGCCAGTTCCACATTATGATTCAGAGTCCGCCGGCAGAGAAGGCTTTTCCAAACTTGACGCTGCCCCAACCCCTGGGTTTCTGGGCCAATCAAGGAATGATCCCCGTCGTCGAAGTTGATGGAGCATCCCTTTCTTTGGACATTCAACCAGCTTAGTAGGCAGGCTACAAGTTGTGGTAAGGCTTTGTTTGTGGTTATATATAGAATACTAATACGTACAATATGGTACCAGTTACCCAAGGCAGAAAAGCGTGGTTGAGACCTACTTACTAAGTGGGTGGAACATGCAAGTGTAGTTGCTACCAATGTTCTCGGGGTGGGAATTGCTACTTATCAGGGATTCGATCTTATCATCCGAAGAAAAGGCGTTTTGCTTGTAGTTTGATATCTGTGGGGTCTACCGGGCTCGTTTTCTTTTTGTCTAAGATCTCGATAGACAAACAATTGCACGGTCATGGGCTCAACTGTCACTTCACCGTCCCACCCGGTATGTCAACAGGGATGGTCATCTACCTGGTAGTAAGGACCCTTCATAAGCCAGTATCATATGAGCCACTGTCAAAACCCGGGTAGATGAAGGTTAGTAAGGGGCAGTCCCAGCCAGAAGTAGTTGCGGCCGCCTTCTGAATTCTTTACATGGTTCTGGGTAGACCATTTCAATACCGGTTTTTGAGCAAGTGACCCACATGATTCTGTTCTTCGGCAGCCACGCTTTTTTTCTTTCACTGCTACGTCCACGTTACGTCTCGTCGCAGGCATGCGCTCCTACATCTTCTATTTGCAGTTCCTGGAAGGCGGTCGAAGGATTTTTCGATCGACGGCCATGACGACTTCACTCACACGACGGGGGGGAATCCCTTCACTCGGAAAGAATTTGGAGCCCTAGCTGGAGTCTCCATGACCCTTGAAACAATGGGCCCATGACCCCTTTGTTTTGGGAAGTGACCAACCATTTTGAAAGGGTCATGGAGACTCCAGGTAGACACCCTAAAAGCACTTTGTAGTACACAAGAAATCATACACCGCTTCCGAGCCTTTTAATTCCATCGGCTTGTGTCAGAATTTCCGAGGTCCATGGGTTTTTTCCCCGAAAGGGAATGATGATTCCCTATAAATACCAACAAACGGTGTGTTCTCATGGTTTCTTCGGTGGTTCGAAATGGATTGCATCCATCCACGGTAGTCGACGACTGTTGACGCAGCAAGTCGCTGATTTTCTGCATAGCCTGGGTCAAGTGTTGGGGATTCTGCCCAGTGTTTGGGTTTGGAGCTCACCGATTCAGGCGGTAAAACGAGCAGAAGCCATGTTGCCCCTTTACCTGGAAGACAATTCTTACTTCAGGGCGTGGAATTGTTCTATTGCAGCTAGGCTCAATCCGTCATCAATGTGTTTAGTTGTTTTCTACTTTGCGCGGGCAAGGAGTCCAAAGTAGGAGAGCGGTGTTCCGGTGTCGCAACCAAAGCCATAAGTCTCTTGCCTGGTATGGTCTCCCCCCCTTGTGCCCGCAGTTGTTCGTTATTTGGGTTCAACTTTCAAACAAGATTGCTCAGCCAAGTCTTGGAAAGTGAAAGAACGTTTGGAAGGCAGAGCATGGTCGTGAATGTTGATTGCCGATTTACTTAATATCGAAATGGTTGACAACCATCATATCTTGGCTGATGAGTGGTCATATGTTCTAAAAACGGTTTGGATTCGCTTTTCGTGGATTTCAGCTTCTTCCGCCTGTTGGTGTTTTTCAGCAATCTGTTACTCTTTCAATATTCTACAGGGGTGGATCCACAAAAGCAACATCCAAACCGTTTTCTAGACTTCCATTTGGTTAAGAATATTTGTTATTTTCCCCCGTTGGTTTTAACTACTGGATTTTGTGATTTTTGTCCAGGGGACTTAAGCAAATGGAGGTAGATATGCATGTTGGAGCAACTTGGGGACCACGGGGTTTCGGAGAAGCTTCCGATTCAAAACCCGTGGGTTGTTTTTCTCCCCGGCCCCAACAAAAAATGCCATCTCTGTCAGAGAAAAGGTCGCCAGCGCACGGCGAAGCGGCGAGTAGTTAGGTCTCCAAACCCGACGGCCTATCCCGGTTTCTACCAAGAATTCTGTGCGAAATGGCCAAGACTTCGCCAGTTGGTCTCGTCCGCGAATCGATTCGCATAGGGATCCGAAAGTCCCTGAACAGCAAGATTTCGACTTACCAATCCGAATCAATTGGATCGGACCTTTTGGTTTCCCCTTGGTATTCATGTTTAGGCATGCCCCGAAGGTTCCAAGATCCTTTCCTGGGGCGGGTTTGCCCCGGTTTCCCGCATGCACAGCCACATACCCAAGCAGAATCCGTATCCCGGAGGGCTTCAACAGGAGGATCTACCAAGAGCTGCAAGGGATCTGTGTGCAACACGAATCAAACTGGCAGTGTTGAAAGAAGGACAAAACAAGCATCCATTGGAGCAGCGGTCCCAGCATTAGAATTACTCATATACACAACCTAGTGCTTGCCACGTTTCAGGAAAAAATAATGCCAGATTCCCATCAGAGGCATAAACGCAAAGGGAACACGAGGATGTACATCTGGGCGCGTGGTTGAGGGGCACCCAGTTAGCACGGCAATCGCACGAAGGCCTAGGAGCCTCAATTCATCTTCACGCCTCTGTAGAGGCGCCCCGGCTCGCTGAGCAACTCCGGCTGCTCAAAGAGCAGGGAAAAAGTGCCGATCAAGTCCCTTTGTCCGCCACCATAGCAGGGGAGACAGGAGTAGGGTTTCGGGTTTCTCCTTGCGGGTATATGTGTGTGTGTGTGTGTTGCCTTTTTTAGGGTACCCGAAATGTTTTCCTTTTGGTTCCCTTCAAAGCCGCTAAAAAAGGGGGCACCCTCAAGAAAAGACAGCCCCACATCCTGAAAAACACACGAAAATGGGCTGCTTCCCTGTAGAATCCTTAGAAGAGACGCCCACCCGAAAGAACTATTTATCATGGCTCGCTTTTTTGTGGGGGGGGGGGCGGTCGGGTCATATATTTGGAAGCAATGGATGCAAGCATGAAGAAGACAGGCCCAGTTGGCCAGTGGATTCCGTATTCGAAAATTCTGCGGGAAGGGTTCCCCTTTAACTCAACCAACCAAAAAAGGATGCCCAATTCTTGTTCCATGGCAATCCCCGCATTTCAGCATGTCCTGCTTTCGACGCGCATCTTGCCGACATCCCAAACCCAGACTAATCGCGACGGCCTCGCGCGTCGAAATTTTCTGCGAGGTGAGGATGACTCGGCCAAGCTCGTGGTGGCCAAGTTGGCCCTTCCCTCAGAGAGATTCTACTTGGGTATGGGTAAAAAACCACCAGACCGCAGATTTCAGTCCATTCCATTTACCAGGTACCTATATGGCTGTGGGTCAAAACCAACGGTACCATTTTGGGGTAGGTGCACCACCCATTTTCGTCGGGATTTTAGTGGGGATTGGGATGTTCACTGAAGGTACGATTTGCATTTTGGCCCATGGCAATATGTGTGACCCTCCATGTTTCTACTCACCCTCAGCTTTAGGCTCCATTTCCATTGCATCGCCAATTGCAAGGCGCCGTTTCTCCCGGCTCGGTTTCTCACTTCCGACCGAGTTCGTTTCGGACTTGAGTCACTTTTGGGATTTGGACCATGTTAGTGGTAGATGAAAAGTTCCAGGACTTTTTGTTCCAAGCGATCCCCATAAAACTCTGCCTGCAAAAGGAGCTCGTCCCATGAAACTCGGTTGAAACATGGCAGTTTGGGCCAGTTGTGGTTAGCTGAGCTTAACGGAGACATAATACTGTGGATGGCCGAAATCCGCCCTCAATATGGAGCGCCCTGCGTTTGGTCGAACATTAATTTGAACCCGTCTAGAAAATAAGTCAATTTTTCCTAGATTCACCAATTAAGTTGCTTCAGGTAGAAGTCTGTTGGCACACTAGTTAGTCTCCTTTTCTGAGACATATCCCCTTGACTTACCATCATCTTCCATTTCCTGAAGAACATGTTGTATGTTTCTCTTTTCTTTTTCTTTTTCTGGGAATCTAGTACTGAGCATTTTTCCCGGGCGTCTTCAGCAAATGGAGGTCAAGGGGCTTCCTCCATCCACCCAAATTGGGCTCGATACCAATCGGAAACCCATCTTAGAGGCAAGGTTCTTGGCCTTCTTGAGCACGTGTCTAAGAGGGCTTCCTTTGTTTATGCCATTCGGCTGGTTGCTACGCATATGGGCGTATCTTTTCTTGAGGGTACCCTTTGTTGGTGGTTTTTTTAAAGGGAAACCAACAGAAAATCCACAATTTTGGGGGGTCCCCTAACAACGACACACCCATATGCTCATAGGCTGGTCATTGAGAAAGGTCCCAACATGTTGCCTGTTGAACTCACCCCGTGTATAAATATGAATTGACGACCCGTCTGTGGCCATTGATTCCACGATGGATTGTTGCAACCACGAAGCACGGGGGTGTCCAAACCAGGTCGATTCATAGCTTCCAAGGTCAGCTTCAGGTAACCACTTGGTTTGGATTCAATGTTCCATTTGAGCCACAATCAAAAACTGGGTAGATGAAGGTTAGTAAGGGGCCAGAAATAGTGGCCGCCTTCTTAATTCTTTACATGGTTCTGGGCAGACCATTTTAATACCGGGTTTTGATTGTGACTCAAGGGACCCAGTTTTGATCGTGAGCAAGTTATTGCATTGAGTGGTTGAAATATCAGATCTGTTTAGTGGTTTTCCAACCAATGAAGCAGTGCGGCCAGCTCCCTTGAGTGGATCCCAGTTACCAGCCTTCCGATTCAATTGGACGAATCGCCCAAGACCCAATTTGGATGAGGAAGCTCCTGAACGGCAGATACCTTGTCCCTGGGGTTCAGTTATCACCATCAAATCAAAGGGGTTTATAGTTCACCACCATTCTTGAAGAGTTTCATCATCCAAGTTGGGTCAACCATTATTTTAATGGGGTTGAACGATAGGGTATTCGCAGCACATCCGGTTCCTTAGCTTTTGATCTTTTTAGCGTTTAGTGGCCTACTAGTTAGCCCTCTAAAAGTTAAACTTTAGCAGTGGATCTGAGGACAGCCCAGAAGAATGGTGGTGACGTATGAATGTTTTCCCAAGGACATCCCCATTGAAGTGATGCGATAGGATGGCCCATGTTGGTATCGCACAAAGGTATGCTTCCATTTGCGTTTCAGAGTATGTCTTATTTTTCCCTGTGGGTGTCGCGTGAACTTATGACTTCCTGGACCCTCAAAATTCCCTTAAAAATGGGATATCACCCCATAATTTTGGGGGTCAAACCCATTGTTTTAAAGGTTGTTTGAACCCCAGGGGTCATATTTTTCTCATGTTTCCAGGGGACGAAATAGGTGGATGAAAATTTCCTCAAATACCAAGGGACTCTCTGAGTTTACCCTCACAACTTATGAGGATTTTGGGCCTGTCGTTTTGGGCAGCGTAGCCTGATTTGTTTTTGCATTTTGTGGTTCTAACAGGAAACCAACATCAAACCCACCGTTTTGAGGGGTCATATTCCCAAAAAAGACAGGCCACCCCCTTCCATTTGCTTAAGAATATGTGTTATGTTCCTCTGTTGGTTTCACTGGAAGTAAGTTCTCATTTTGTCCAGGGGTCGCACAAAAATTGAAATGAGGATTCCTAAACGAAGCCAAAGCCCGCGTGTTTTTTCTTTTTCTTTTTCGCTCGCCGCCCGCATTTTCCGTTCCGAGTCCGGGCAATCCTCGCGGGAGATGCCGGAGACGCTGCGAGATCTCAAAGAGGCGAGGCCTATCCGAGCGTTGAGGAACCGGACAATGAGTTCGATTTGAGGGTGGCTGGACCCGAAAGAAGTCGCAAAAGACTTTCATTTTCCACTAGTGCCCTTTTACTCTGTTCTGGGGGAGGGTTCCCCTACTAAAATTTTCTACAGAAAAAAGGGCACCCTTATTCTAACCTCTCTACTGGAGGACCTAGTTAAGAACATGTTTTATTTTACCTTGTTGCTTTTAAAGGGAGTGCATCACTATTGGACATATGTTTATTCTTTCCAGGGGGCTCAAGCCAATGGAGGAAGAAAGACCAAAGACCAACTTGACAAAAGAAGTACCAAAGAAGTACCAAAAGAAAACCAGCTTAAGTACTTCTATTTTTAAGTAGGGCCCGAAAGAAGTACCAACTTAACAAACATGGGTGGCAACCCACAATTATGGTTGGTGTGTGCGTGTTCTGCTAGTTTAAGGGTAGTTTGAGGATCCAGGGAGTAAGGTGATCTGTTTAGGCAAGGTTCGCGTAAATTGGTGGTTGGATTTGGATTTGGCCCCCTGATTCTTATGGAGTAGATGAACCAATTCAAGCCACGAGAGGGATGCTGATCTTCTGTTTTTGAAGGGAAATCGGAAGGAACCCCGAAATCTATTTGAGTGTGTCAAGACAAAAGCGGTTTTCCTCTTGGTTGCCCTTCAGCGCCATGAAGAAAAGGGTACGCAAGACACCCTGCGATTTTAGCGGGGTGCTTTGCTCTGTCCAATTCTTCCAGGTCTTGGAATTGAACGTTCATTCTTTCAAAGGCTTGTTTAGGTACTCCACCGGGTCGTGCCCGTATGGCTTATGGATGCTTCTATGCAGCCAATAGCGCAGACGGAACTTATACGACGTGGTATAGAACCGTTTTACTTTCAACACCAAGACCTGCAAAAAGTGATCCAAGTCCTGCGTTGCGATCCAAGTCCTGCGTCCTCCTGGACAGCGGTTTTATGGATGGGTCTTCCTTTGAAACCAACCCAGAGAAAGCCTTCCGTTATTTTGGTGCCAAGTTACTTTTTCCAGTGGGGCGGGTTTGCCTTCAACATCAACCAACCCAAACAATGTGTCCATTTGTTCGGTTTTGTTTGAGGGGCCCATTTGTTGTTTCCTTTGTGTTGTGGTGGATTGCCTTTAGAATCAACCAACCAACATCCATTTGTCGACTTTGTTTGGGTGGACGCCAAGGCTTTTCGGATGTTGAGGTGCCCGCACTCTGGACGGGTTGCGGCAGTGGAATTCCGGTCCAAATTCTCCCACCCCCCCCACCCCCACCGCCGCCACATCTCTCGCCCGCGTGTTCAAGTGAGTGAACCCCAAGCAACAACGAAGTGGGCAGATTTAAGCCTCTGGAAGGCAGCTTTACTTTGCTTCGCGGCCAGAACAAAGCCATGTGAGCCATAGTCAAAACCGATTGGGTTAGTAAGGGACAGCCCCCTTGCCAGAAATAGGTGTGGCCGGCTTGGTGGTTCTGTACATTGATTCATTTTCATACCGATCGGTTTTGATTGTGACTCATTTCATTTCAATGGTAGGCTCTAGAACCCCACGTGGATTTCCGGCTCTTCTCACATGTGTTGTGAGCACTCGCTCACATCTGACGCTGAAACATCTAGCCGCTCCCCCAATTTGGAGTCCGTTCGCAGAATGGGGATGTTTCGCCTTCGAAAAGCGGGGTGGGTCCTCAAGACTTTCTTACCTCTTAAAAACACAACTTTTCTCAACTTGTTGGGTAACATGGGCTATATGTCTATAAAATATTAACTTCCCCAGGGCTTGGAGTTTTAAGGGGTAAGCTTTGGAATGTTGGAACTGGGTAATTTCCTCAGAATCTTCTTAGCCCAAATGTTGGGGCCCTAAAGAATCTTAGTGAATGTCTGGCCACTTTGAGGTGGTGTTCTTTGCACATCTGTCGACCTGTTCATTGGAGGGTATGATACCTGCCAAATTTGCTTCCGGATGTTTCCATCATGGAACCCAAAGGGGCTCCGGGGAGGGGGTGACTACTATCTCTTATCAACCCGCTTCCGGTGCTCCTTGAATTGAAGGCGTTGGAGGCCCCTCAATGTCTACGAAAAACGGATAGTACAACTGGGGTGTGCTGCAACACTTTTCATATAGGCTAAGTACGAGGCAGAATCTGAACGTATTTTACTTCCTGTCTACCCAGCTTTCCTTCGGGTTTCTGTATAACCAGACAGGGGGTACCGAGGCTCAAAAGACAGGCCTCGTGAAACATGCTTCGGCATGCGCTAGGTGAACTGTACCGATGGCTGGCACTACTTCCGGGTGTGGCGCCCAAAAATAACGCGAGGCGTTTCTTTGCGAAGGCCAAATGAGTCACCTTCTGAACCTGGTTGGATGAACCCTGGAATTCAAACCACTTTTAGAACAGTGGTGGTGAAAAACAATGGGGGTTCATATAACCACCATTGTTTACCTAAGGATTGTCATCATCCAAGCTGGGTCCTTGTCTTTCTTTTAATGGCCCCTCAGGAAATCTAGGGTGAAGGTTAGTAGGATGAGTCTCAGAGGGTTTCTAGGCACTGAACGACCCCCTTTTTTCCCAGAGTACCAAGTTGGACCCTCTGGCAGGGAAAGTCCTGCCAGAAATGGGTGTGAGAAAAACCCGCCCTTTTCAAGGTTTTCGGGAGACCAGTCTAGTAGGTTTTGATTAGGACTCAACTTCCGGGACTTGTACTCCTTGAGTACTCTTCGGGCTTGGACCATTTGATGGTCAGCCATGCGGTTCGTTAGGATTTTCGTGGTTTAGGGTTTAGTGGTAGGTTCCACTAAACCGCGAAAAGTCAAACTTTTAGCAGGGATGTGGGAAGAGCCCAGAGAAGCTCGGACTTTTTTCGGTGAACTCACTCGATCGGAAGTGAGGAAAGGCACCAAATCATTCTCAGTCCCTTTGTTCAGCAAGGCCTTTTGTTTTTCCAATTTGTGTGAACCCTGTCTGGATCGGGCCACCAAAGATTCGACCTTTGGACCTTTTCCCCTGTTTCGCTCGCTTAAAAGTTCAATCACTGGGCCTGGGTTTACAACAATGGCTGCTTGTGAGTGGGAGTGTCTTTTCCTGGTCTCCCATTTTCGGGGGGTGGTTTCCTTGTCGTGCTTTTCCTTCAAAAGCAGCCAAACGTGGGTTCCCTCAAAAGAAAGATGAGCCCCAAGAGGGTTGAACATACCTGGACCTTTAAAAATGGGTCCATGAGCCCTTTATTTTGGGCAATGACTCCATTTTTTGAGGGTCAGAAGGAGACTGCAGGTGTGTCTTTGGCTACCCTTTTGGGTTCACCCCCCAAAAAGAACAACCAAAAAAATGTTTTGTCCAGGTTCCAAGAGTTTATCATCATCTCGAGTCATCTCGAGGACCCGGCGTTTTGCCGGGTATTTGTACCTGCGACCCTGAAAATTCCCTGAAGCAAAATGCGATTGCCCCCCAAACATATAGGTTGAATTCCCTTTTGCATGGGTAGCTGCTTGCTTTTGTCCCCCGTCTTCCCTTTTTTGGAAAGGCTATAATCATCTGGGAAAGGGGCATGTGCACCAAACCTAGATTGAGTCACGGTTGTAAGTCGCCGTAGTTGCTTAAGGGTGATTGGGACGTAGTGCCCTTTTACCCTTTTCTGGGGGAAGGTTCCCCTACTAACATAGACTACAGTAAAAAGGGTACCCTTATTCTAACCTCTCTACTGGAGGACCTAGGTGTTTTTCTTCCTACGGGACCCCTCCAAAATGGTGGTATCTGGTCTCCTTTTGACTTCCCTTTACCGACAAAAAAAAAGCGGGGGTACCAAGCGAGCCTCAAGAAAAAGAGTTTCAAGTTGGTCCATGTGGCCAAGCATTTCACCCCAAAAGCGCACCCTTTGTCTTGATTGCTACTGGCTTGGATCTTTAGACTTTGACAAATTTGTTGAATTCTGTCGGGTTTTCCATTGAACCCATAAGAATATATATATATATATATATTCACTTTTTGCAGAGTAGCAGCTGTGGAGGGTGGGAGGTTTCCCATCCTCAAGAACCAGGGGTTCAATTCGACAATTACAGGGAACCTGAGGTGTTACTTTGGTTTCGCAAAACGAACACAAAGAGGGAATTTCCCTTACAGGAGAAAAGGGCAGGCGAGTGAGAGAGTAAGTGGGCGAGTGAGGCAGGTGGGGTGAGGTGGGTGAAGTCACCTAGATCTTCACACGTAGAAAACAGGTGGCAGTCCCAATGCTTTAGGGGAGCCCCCGCACCCGATTTTGTACCCTCTCCACAAACATGAAACCATCTCAGGATTCGACCGTTTTCTTCATCTACCCTTTGGAGCGTTCCGCGTTAGTGGAGAGGGTAAGCCACAACCTGCTTCATGCGTTGAACATCCCGGCAAAAACGGTGATTGAATCCACTCCGAGGTGAGGTCGTTCCACGGGGGCCTGATGTTCTACTTTGACTTCCAATACGCGACTTGGCAGAAAACCGACCCGGCTACCAAGCATCTAGACCCTCCAACTCCCCTTAAACATGGGATATTGCTTGCCCCAAATGGGTTGCTGTTCCTTTCTAAGGGTAGTTCTTTCGGGCCCAGGTGCCCCTTTCAAAGCCTTGCTCGCATTGGTCGCTCGCATTCGCCCCTGGTTTTTTTGTCGCCTCAAACTGGAACACCGTCCACCCGCGCCCCTTTTTCCGTTTGCATGCCATGCCCCTGGGGTTCAACCCCCATTAAAACAAAGATTAACCCAATTTAAATGACAATCCCTAGGCAAATCAAGGTGGTGAAATATGAACCCAACCATTGTGTTAAAGGTTGTTTGAACCCCAGGGATGCGGGTCTTGAGAGCCCCTTGCTTTCGCTGGCGGGTGGTTCAGAACGAGCCGGACTCGGAGACGGAGCTGTTCAAATCCGTTGAAAGGGGGAGCCGACATCGGAGCCGATGGGAGTGCAAAGACATGGTCGTTCAGAGGGGTTGGAATGGAGTTTTCAAATTTTGTGCCAGGTGGCAGGAGAGGATTGGGACGCACAGTGCGTGCAGTCAATGTGGCAACACGCAACTTACAACTTACCAGCTCGCTCGAATCCATTCGTAGGATGCGCGCAGCTGCCAACGAATAAGCAAGACTTGGGCCGTAAATACATGACGAGTAAATGTGTGAGCTGTGACTTGCGAGTCGCGACTTCTCAGTTGTGTTTGTGAGACAAGGTGGGGTGAGTGAGGGCGTGCGCGGGCGCATGGTGGGATTCCGCGGTTGCCTTTTGATTAGTTCCTTGTTGCGGAAACAACAATTGATGTACGCGCATGGGGCTTGAATCTTTCCCGGTGGATCGCATTTGATTTTAAAGACTGGTTCCCTGGTTACCTGCCACACAAGGAAATGGAATCTCTGGAGGCAAAACAAGTGCTTGGTTAAACTTGATGTGCAAGCAACGTGTATCGAGCTTCTTTGGGCACGTCTCAAAATAGGGGACCCCGCAATTGGTGGGGTCCCTTTCGTTGTCCTTTTTAAGCGACCCAAACATATGTCCCTTCGCGAGCATGGGGATTCTACCGGAAGATGACAAAACACAAGTCGGGTTGCGGCTTTGTTCAGCCAGCAGGCAATGGCAGACTATTTGAACATCAAACTTACTCAGCAAAAACAGGTGGTAAGTATGTTAAAGTTGCAGAACGAGGATACTACCGGTGCATCGGTTTTGTGAAGGCTTATGTCGGTATTTCAGGCTGTTTGGGTAGGGTCGCTGGTTTTATGGGTAAATTGTCTGGTATTCATTCGTCTTGAACAACTCAGATAACGTAAGGAGTCCACGTGAGGGAGAGACTCCCCCTGCCAGAACAGTTCTTAGAACCGTAGGTGTCCTTCTAGGTTAGTTTGGTTAGACATAATTAGATGAGTTCCACTGGTTTAGATGGGTTTCTCTAGGGGTACCTTCCCCATTCTTTCCAGGCATCCGAATCTTTTCAGGAAACCATCAACAACCCAGGGGGGAACAGATCCGGTTTTTGAAAAGAAGGATGGTTGAAAAGACTTGGCCGCCTATGCGAAAAATCCTTCGATCAGAACCTCCGAAGAGGTCTGGCTGTTTTTGGCCGAAATCGCAGGGCGTCTCATCAACCAGATCTAACCTTTCGGTGTCCACTATTTGGTGGCTAGGTCCCCCAGTAGTGCCCTTTTGCCAACTTGTTTTTGGGGAGGGTGTCCGCTAATAAAATAGACAAAACCGAAAAAAAGTTGGTGCCAACTTAATTCTAGCCTCTCTACTGGAGGACCTAGGTGATCACCTTTTGATTTCCCAAGTTCCGCGGGTAAGTGAGTACCAGGACTCCCCGGACAGCCTAAAAAAAGAAAACACCAACCAAATCATTGCGGGGCAAGAACATCTTTTTTTTAATGGTACCTGGAGTCTCCTTGACCCTTTCAAAATGGTTGGTCATTACAATTACCCAAAATAAAGGGGTCATGGACCCATTTTTAAAGGGTCATGGAGACTCCAGGTAACTAGTTCTTTCGGGAGATAGTTTGAGTCGATCATAATCATCTCATCATCCTCATCCTCATCATCACCATCATTATCATTATCATCATGATCACCATCACCATGATCATCATCAACATCATCATCACCACCATCATCACCACTATCATCATTATCATCACCATCACCATCAACATCATCATCATCATCATCATCATCATCATCATCATCATCATCACCATCATCACCATCATTATTATCATCACCACCTGTTTTACCACAACCCGGACGCTCAAACTACCCTAAAACCATGGAAACCATCTCACTTATATCGCCATTTTTTCCAGGGAGTTTTGAGTGTCCAGGGAACCAAACCCCGCTAGAGGTTTCCATGCAGACAAAAAGAGCACGCGGTCGGCTGCATCAGGTCGGCTTCATGGAGGCAGCTGACGCCGCGGAAGCGACGGTCGTCAGTCCACTTGAATGTGGCGCTTGCCGCCGTTGAAACAAACGGCTTGCTATTCTAAGCACCAGTATTTGCCTGAGTTTCATGATCCAAATTGGGTCGGTCATTATTTTAATGGCGGTTCAACGCTGGGGTCATATTTTCCAGCTCGGATTTTGAGGGGGGGCAGCTTTCGGGGAGGTTTGTGGGTTCCGGAGATTCGGTTGGATCCGGTTCGAGATAAAAGCATTTGGGCGTGTTTTGTTGGACCTTTACCGCCCCAAAACGGGCGGCAACTCCAAAGACGAGGAATCCATTTGCGGAGCTTGAGGGGTGGGTCCATATCAGTCCTATGCAAGCCCCTGTTTGGGAAGCCGAGAAAGATCCTAAGCGATCGGAGCCGAATCAACTAGGTGGTTCTGGTTTGGCATCCGTTTCTTAGAGAGCCCTTGGTGAAGAAATTATAGTTCACCCTGAGCTCTTGCTTGCAAGGTTGGGTTTCTTTGATTGACGCATTTGAATCCGGACCGGATTCACTCTCCCAGCAGAATCAAAGCTCTCCAATCGTATATGTCAACATGTGTCAATATTGGATTTGGAACCAAATGAGCTTCGGTTTTCCTTCGTTGACTAATTTCAAAGCAACCCCAACAGTGTACCCTTGCGGAGGACTGCCCCAATTGCCCTTGGTTCCGTTTTATTCATCTGGATCCCCTGTTTGTTCATCAAGGCAAAACCGCTCCAGCACCTCAAACCCTCAGACCCTCAAACCCTGAGACCCTCAGACCCTCAAACTCTTCAAACCCTCAGACCCTTAAACCCTGAGACCCTCAAACCTTCGCAGGGCCATCGGTCCCCCAGTATTGCCCTTTTACCAACTTTTTTGGGGGAGGGTTCCCCTACTAAAATACACGACAGAGAAAAGTTGGTACCCTTATTCCAGCCTCTCTACTGGAGGACCTAGTCTCCAATCCGACTCTCACGGTTGAAACAGCAGCTCAGCAGTCCTCAGCCCGACGTGTCTCGTTTTCACGAATTCCGTTGCTCTGATGAACATGGAACCCAAGACGGCCCAAGCATCAACAACCGGGAACTGGAGCTTCTCAAAGAAAACTTCAGCAGAAGGAAAACGCCATCAGCAGAAGGAAAACTTCGCGAAACAGCACGGATTATTGGGTGTCATGTTGATCTGGAGAACGACCAAATGGCATTTCCCTTCCAGCACGTTAGTACGTTTTCGGGATTTTCTTGGCAAGATACCTGAAGGCTTACCTCAGAATTTTCCCAGGCCATCATTTTCCCAGACCTCCAGGGGTTCCCTTTCCTTCCCTTTTGGGTGGAGGGGCCGCATCAGAATAAACTACCCTCCCACGTGCAACCTCAGACTAGTCGAAGGCGATTTTTCTTTAAACGGAATTTTCGGGTGGGCACAGATAAGTCCCAGACCGTTTTTTCCTTTAAAAGGACTTTTCTTCCCATGGTCCCTATAAACCATGTTGCCTTAAAAAGGGTGCGTTGCCATACCGTGGGCCAAAAACCAAACAAGGGCCGTCGATTCCTATGGAACTCTCGGCAGGTGGGAGACGCAGGGAGCTCAGTCTGGTGGCCCCGACAAAAGGGGTTTCTCGGTCCCTGAGCATGCCCTTTTGCTGGTCCTTTTTTTGGGGGTCCCCTAAAGAAGAGTATAGAATAAAAAAGGTAGGCTTAACCTCTCTACTGGAGGACCCAGGGTATGGGTCATGTTTAAAGCAAGTTGTCCCAGCCTATAAAACCAAGAGCCATGGCTGGGTGAATCCGGAGGGCTCTAGTCATGCTGTTGCGAAATCCGCTTCTCACACCAATTGAAACCATGGTTAGAACCACAGCATTTGTTGGCATTTACAGGGGTTTCTTTGGTGGTGCGAAATGGAAATTGTCCATCCACAGTATGGGTCATCATGAGTGATGCGGTTGGTGTTTGTGAATCCTTGGTTCATCTTTTCTAGTGATGGGGAAATGTTGCATGCTGAATCTGTTTGGGTCTGGGTCAAAGGTCCAGGATATGGACAACAGGATCTAGTCCATGTTTCCACTTGCCAGGGTTCCATTGTGGGGTTACCCTATTTTTGACCCACGGCCAAAGGCCTAAATGGATGTGCGTGTTCATGAATCCGGGGTCAACACTGGCCCACTCCCTCACTCCCTGAGTGCCTGGATTGTAGACTTTTTGGGCAGGCCATGTTTCTTGACTGCTATGGGGTAACGGATCTTTAGACTTTAACTTTTTGGTTGAAATCAAGTTGTTGTTTTTTCCTAAAGCCACAACAAGTTTTTTTTGCAGAGGGGTCAACAGCAACAAGGTTTGTGGCAAACGAAGAGTGGTGCTTTTTCTTTGCCGACTCCACTCAAGGTTTCGAAACTTTCGCCCCGCTTGAAATGTTTCAAGCCAACAAAGGGCGCCCTGTTCCGGCTGGGAAATGAATTTGATATGAGTTTCCGCACTTCATCCAGGTCCCTTTTTTGGGGGAGGGTTCCCCTACTAAAATAAACTACAAGAAAAAAAGGATACCAACTTATTCTAACCTCTCTACTGGAGGACCTAGTCATACTTTGGGAAGATGGGTGGCAACCACCAGGTCCGGGCACTCCACGAGGGTCTCCATCGCAATGTTGTTTTTTTCACACGGGGTCCTGGAAGTCGCAGGTTTTTTGCAGTGGCCCAGCGGATTCATTCCGCCGTTCGGCTTTTGGCAAGGGTTCCGATTCCTTTCAATGGTCCACCAAAACAGGATGATTCTTCTCTTTTTGCCCATCCGATTCCTTGAAAGTCATTTGCAACCCAACAAAACCTCGGAGACGCCGAGTCTTCTTCTTTTTTCCCCATGAAAGAAAAATTCCGCTGGGCTGAGTCCCAAACCCACGGAACCGGGGCCATGGTTCGGCCATGGTTCGGCCATCGTGAGTCCATCCATCAAGACATAAGATCCGAACCCCAGAGCCTTGGACTTGAAAACTCTTGGGGTGTTTGGTTCTTTCTTTCTGTCTTTTCCTTCTTTTTTTTTTGTTTTCTTTTGTTTTCCTTTTTTTCCCCATGTTATTTTTTCTTTCACTTCTGTGCTCTCCATTTTTTTTTCTCCCCCGGTTTTTTCCTACAACAATCGGGTGTTTTTAGTTGGTTTTGTTTTTGTTTCTGTTATTATTATTTCACTTGCACTCTCCGTTGTTTTTCCCCCCATTTGTTTGCCGGTCAGTGTTTAAAGGAAGAGTCAAAGGTTAGGAGGTCAGGAACCGTGTTCTCTTTTGTCCGTTCCCTTTTTTTAAATGTTTTTTTTTGTTTTAAGGTTCTCTTCTTTGAGTTGTTGTTGTTATATAATACATATACATATATACATGTATGTATATATATGTATAGATAATACCCCTAGGTTCTCACGCGGGCACCGCTTGTTTGACTGCAAGTTTATATAATCAGTTAATTAACCCCTGATTGGTGGGAACTGGAATTGAACCCCGGGATTTTGTGGGCAAATGGGAGACATTGGGAGACCACCCAACCTTCACACTTCCAAACGCATGTTTGAGGCAAGCTGAAGCTTGGCTTCTTGTTTTGCCAACATTCTAGGGGACACTTCCCCATTCTTTCCAGGGATCCTTCTTTTCAGAAAACCATCAGAACCCCAGGAGAAACTGCTGGTTTTTGAAAATAACGATGGTTGAAAATAATGGAAAAGGAATCAACCCCTAGAAACATGTGCGTGCGCTTTTCAAGATGTGCTGCGCCGCCTTGGGTGTGGGACCCCACAACTGATTTGAGCCACACTTAACATCCTGTGCGGGACCATCCCAACCAACAATAGGTGCGGATATCCGCGTGGATTCGTACAGACGTGGTTCAGGGGACACCGTTTTAGTACCCTGTTTGGATTGCGGCTCTCATCACCTAGTTCGCTCTTCAAGGCGAGTGCCCGCAATGGGGCATGGGGGGCGAAGCTCCCGTTTACCCAGAAGAAACCCCCCATAAATTTCACCTGTTTGCCTTGACACGCTGTGCCAAGCGACGGATTTGTTTGCTGGTTTCCTCAAACAGACACACAGACCCAGCCTCAAAACACTGGCTTCGGTTTTCCTTTTGTTTTTCTTCGAAAACTACAAACAAAATAGGGCACCAAGCCTCAAAAGAGACAGACATACCTGGAGTCTCCTTCTGACCCTTGAAAAACGGGGTCATGACCCAAAATAAAGGGGTCAACCCATCTTGAAAGGGTCAGAAGGAGACTCCAGGTCTTCATTTTCCCGCAAGGCACCAAGCGACCTGTGGCTCTCAGGACAGCCTGGCGCGGCGTGGTTTGTTGGGCGTCTGGGCTTGGGACATGCCGCGGCCTCGGCTCGAATGAAACGCCGCGTGGTTGCTCGAGGTCGAGGTAGAGAACCACCTGGACCCGAAAGAACTACCTGGAGTCTCTCTGACCCTTTAAAGATGGGGTCAGTAGCCAAATAAAGGGGTCGTGGACCCATTTTGAAAGGGTCGTGGAGACTCCAGGTTATTGCAAGCCAAAGCATGGTTAGAATTAAGGGCAATTTCAGGGTCCAGGCGGACCTCAAGCGCCGTTTGTTTCAACTGTTTGGGACACTCTGTGTTGTACATCCCTTCATGCACAAGTCTCCCATTTTTTCAAACTGTTGGAGGGGAACGCTAAAGCGATATGGTTGAAAACCCGAGAAACAAAACCAGCATTTGCAAACACCTGCAAGCTCGAATTGTTTTCATGCCCCAAGGAAATAGCCAAGTAACGACCTCAACAGCTCCTTTTTGTGATTCCCTGACCCCCCTTGGTGCCCATTGTTCCTTTTTGTTGGGAGGTGGTTTCTTACAGGATGATCTGCGTTATTCATTTGTATATTGGTTGCATATCTGTGTTTGTTTCTTGGAGGTACTTCCCTGCAAATGTGTTGGGTTAACTGTTAAACTGCAGGGGACTAGTGGTCTGGGCGCCGTGGAATCCATCTGAGAAACGGTTTTCTTGGGCCAAGTCACCACTGGAGGGAGAAAAAAAAGCGAGCTGCGGGATCTTCTTGGCTACAGTGCTGCTGCGGGAAACAAGCCTTCGCTCTCTGCGGCCAAACAAAATAGTGGCGATGATCTGGGCAAAGAAGAACGCGATTCGAGGTTTCGGGGGGTGGGGTTGCGACCGAAGCATCCGAAGCGAAGGTTCCTTTCTTGGCGGCCCCTGATTTTCGGCTGATAAGGTATTACAGTCCGGGCTGTTCAAAGGTAATCCGCAAGATCCTGAGTTACGCAAGAGATTTGGTCCTGTTTGTAGTGACTTTTCCATAGGGATTATGGATTAGGACTGGCCAACCCTCCATTTTGAACAGCCCAGATAGTGTGCCCAGAAATTTGGAACCAGCATGTTGAACAGAATCTGGGACAGGGTTTAGGGGTCCCCGATTCAATCGGATTGGCCAGCACTCCACTTTAAACAGAGTCCAGTAAGCCTTGGTGGACCCCCCAAAAAAAGGCAAAAGAGGTTGGTTTCCTTTTGGTTTCCCCCTTTAAACCAACCAAAAGAGGGTTTTCTTTTGGTTTCTGTAGAGGTTTGGATCGGTGTGAAAACCGCTTTATACGGATCAATCAACCAGAGGAGATCCTTTGCCTGGGTGAACACCTCTGGTTCCAGCAGGTTCATCAATCTGGGTCGGTCGTTTTTTTTGGTGTGGAACCCTCTTTTGGTTTGGTTTTCAGGGGGAAACCAAAAGGAAACCAACCTTCTTTGTTTTTTTTAAAGGGGGTTCTCTTTAGAAGACACCCCATCTAGGGTTGGCATAGGGACGTCGTCCCTTGGCAAAGGATTCTCTACGCAAGACCCTACTTGGAATGGGGTCTGGGACAATCAAGTGTGTGACGACATGTTTAGCAACTATACCACTTCAGTGTTTGAAGTTATGATGAGTTTTGCAGACAGATCCTCCGGAACATGCGGCGAAAGTTGATACATCTGCCCTGTGCAGTTCTTCCCATATGTTGCTATGTTACCGCTGTACTTCTCATCGCACCGAGAGATCGGGTTTCGATGTTCACAGGAAGTGTCCAGTCGTTCTGGGTCAGTACCCAAAATAAAGGGGTCATTGGACCCATTTTTAAAGGGTCATGGAGACTCCAGGCACTGTGGGTGGTAATCGCCGCACCGTTCTGAAAGCCTGGTGTCTGAGATGATTCCCCTGGTTCGTACAAATAAACAAGGGTTTCACCTGTGGCTTCTTAGGTGGGTGCGAAATGGATTTCTGATTTCGCCACAGCACCTCATAAAGTGTTGCTCTCAGCCAGTGATCAATCATAGGAAACTACGTATTCCTGATGTTCCTGTAGTTTAGTTCCCATGAATGTTTGACCAATCATTGGGTTTGCCTCAACACAAAAGCCCCGCAAAACTCAAAACTCACCAAAACAGATGAGGACACAACCGATTCGACCCACCCAGGGAGGTGAACGTGCGCAAGGCGGTGGTCCGCAATTTGGAGGACGCCCAAAGGGGACCTGCGACGTGGTGCGTGGAGTCTCCTTCTGACCCTTAAACGGACCATTACCCAAAATAAAGGGGTCATGGACCACTTTTTATTTCGGGTCAGAAGGAGACTCCAGGTTTAAAAAAAATAATAATCGGGGGCGCATTTCAGCCTGCGAAAAGGTCGGCGATTAGGCCATGCTTGGAGGAAGGCACCGAACACACTGTGGGTGTTTGTGTCTTAAGATGGTGTACCCAAGAAATGAGTGGTTTCCTTCTGGCTTTCCGAATGAAAACAACTGGAACAAGACCCTCCAAGAGGGAAATACATCTTTTCTTTAAGTATGCAGCTATAGAAAAGCTTCGAAAAGTGTGGCTTTCTTTTTGAAGGTATGCCAACATTGTCCCAAACCTGGATCCAGGAAGAGGTCATCTGGGTGTGTTTCCGCAAGTGATCTAATTAGGGGGAGCTTTAACGAGTTGAGGCCATGGTGAAATCTAACAAAATCCCGCCTGCCCAAATGCCTAAACGTGTTGCCGCGAAGGCCAGAGGGGGAAAAAAAGAAACAAGTGAGCCTTTTGTGTCCAAAGCCCACCTGTTCAAAGCTGGACTTGTTGCCATTATTCATTCGGGGATCCCCTACATGTTCTTAGTTGTCCAATGCCAAGCTTTTGACCTTTTGGGTTCCTGATTTGGTCCATAGTCATGGTGATCACCTTTTATGGCTGCGTCCCTTGGCCGAGTTGAAAATGTGTGCCCCGCAACACCATGAACTTCGGCTCTGTTCGCACCCCCGACAGGACATGGACGTTGTGGATCACGGTGACTCCGAACGTGAGGAAGCGATCAAGGACGGAGATTGTGCGAATGTGATGGAATCTCCCTGGAGTCTCCATTACCCTTTAAAAATGGGTCAATGACCCCATTATTTTGGGTAATGACCAACCATTTTTTAGGGGTCCTTAGGGAGACTCAGGAATCTCAACACAACTTGAGACCCATTGGTGCCCTTGGTTCCTGCGTTTGGGTGAGGTAGGTTGCCGAGAAAATGTCAACCACCAACTTGGAGGCTATGGACGCAAAAAATCCTTGGGCTTGGTGAACCCCGAAAAAAGCTGATTTCCAGCTACCAGCTTGTGCAGGATTCCACAAGTATTTGCTCGGACCGGACGAACCTTCAACTGTGTGGGAAAATCTGATTAAACAAGCTCGACTTGTTTGCAGGTACACCTCATTAAACCCTCGGACCCGCATTGGTGCCCTTTGTTCCTTTTATTTGGGGAGGTGGGTTGCCTTTAAAGTCAACTGGAGCATGAGTGGAAGGTTAGATGAGCCGCCAAAACCCCAAACAAGGCCACTGTAGGTTGCTTTAACAGATTGTTCAGTTTTTGATAGTTGTAAGATGTGTGTGTGTGTGTGTGTGTGGGTGCGGGTGCGTGTGCGCGTGCGCGTGCGTGCGTGTGTGTGCGTGCGTGCGTGCGTGCGTGCGTGCGTGCGTGCGTGCGTGCGTGGGCGCGCGCGCGCGCGTGTGCGTGCGTGCGTGCGTGCGTGCGTGCGTGCGTGCGTGCGTGCGTGCGTGCGTGCGTGCGTGGGTGTGTGGGTGTGTGTGTGTGTGTGTGTGTGTGTGTGTGTGTGTGTGTGTGTGTGTGTGTGTGTGTGTGTGTGTGTGTGTGTCGGGCGTGAGTATATATAAATATGTATTTCAGTGTTTGGGTACCCTTTTGAGGTTGGTTTGGAGGAAGACAGCAGTCACGCCATCATTCAGGGGATCCACCTACTCCACACATCCGTAAAACAAGTAATGTTGACCGTCTTGGATTTGTTTTTCGAGCTCGCCTGGGGTCAACACTCGCACAACCACAAATTATCTTAAATTGAGGATTCCTCACTCGCTGAGTTCCTGGACTTTCTACTTGTTGGGAAGACCATGTTAGTAGCAAGCGGACAATTTAGACTTTGTTTGGCCAATCCACCGAGGAATTCAGATTCCTTATGTCCAATTTTCTGATCTGCGCCGATGTCGGACCATTTTCTTGTTTTGTTCCTAGAAAGGCCGCCAAACATTTCGAAGAGGTTGCAAAACTGAATAACAAAAACGGGCGTTTTAGAAGAGCTAGCTGCCGAATGCAAGTCCTGCATAAACCTTTGATCATCTTGTAGAACCCAGAGTTGTGAAATGAGGTTGGACGGTGGGTAGGGTAGACCTCGGATGAACAACCCCCTCCTAGCTTCTTAGCGGGGTGTTCTGAACCCCAAAAGCGGGTACCCCCATCTGGGGGTTGATTACATGCTTCTTTACCTAGGATGAGCATTGTGGAAAACCACCAGAAAGATGATACTTCCCACTAAATGGGAGAAGTTACCCATGGTCATTCTGGGGGCGAGGAATATTGATCAACCTTTGTTTCTCAAAATCAACCAGCTCTGCAATGTTCCAAGGCCAGCCGTCCCTTTACCTGGTCATTACTCATTCATGTTCTTCGCTTTGGACCCGAACACACAACCCCCCTTTCCACACCGGAGGGTCGTCCAGTGAATGCCTCAGTAAACATGACGCAGTTGCCGGGTATTTCAACCCCAAATTGCCTCATGATCATAAAGGAAGCATGTGTGGAATGACTCGCCCTCTCATGTGGGTAGCACTTGGGGCCATCTTCAGAGCCTTTGCCCTTGACTAACATGATGAACACAGAACAGATCCAATTCCCTGGCTTGGGGTTGAACGTTGAACAAGTCAGATCATATAACTCATTTCTTTCGCCTTGTTCCAGTGCAGTGCGCGCATTGTAAGATCATGGTCGTGGATCCTTTGGAAACTATGGAGGTTTTGCCATTCCCAGCGACCAGATCTGACCTTTGAGTTGCTGGAGTCTCCTTCTGACCCTTTAAA